TGATCATGACAAAGATTCTCTATTATATTATTAAAGAAAGGAGAAATGCTAGTAACTTTTATTCCTTAGTTTAAAGCTGAATTTTTAGCCAAAAACAAAAAAAATAATTATTTAATAATTTTTCTTGCGTTTCTTCAAATATTTCATACAAGTGTTAATAAAACTAACAAAAGTCAATTCATTTTTACATATTTACATAGATAATGTTTGGACTAAATTAAATTTTAATTACTTATTGATTCTTGGCGATTGGACATTTAATTTAATGATGATTAATAAACTAAATAATTGTGGTCCATTATCTGTTCAATTTATATTATGATCGCTGATTAAATCACCTTTACTAATTAATAAATTTAATAAGCTTTTAATGGATTACTAATGCATACAAATTAGGATATGCAAAACTATTTGTTGAAGTTATAATTAAATATTTGCATAAAAAGTATTCGCGCTCTACTACTCGCAAATAATGTCACATTTGAATATAAATTAAGTTTTTGCTTTTTTACCCGGAAAAGAGGATTTAAAAACTGAAATAATAGTTTTTTATATTGTTGACAAATGTAATTAATCATAATTCATTTTATTCAAAACTACGCTGGAGAAATCTGTTTTTCCGAAGAAAAAAGTTAATATATTTATAATTTCTGTTTTGTGTACATGGGGATATAGTAAAATTACATTTCGGTATTCCACTCAATTGGTTCTCGATTAAGGTGTCGAATTCTAAACTGCGCATTAAATTTGATTCGATTTTAAGCCCGCGCTGTTTTTTCGCGCTATCGTTTCGCGTTCAGCGCGCACGTTTTCCACCGATTTGCGTTACGGCGTGCTCGTTCGAGAATGAAACGGAATCGAATTGAATTATAAATGTTTCAATTATGGAACGGATATTACCGAAACACAAGGACCAAAGAGGCCAAGCGGGATTATCCGCCACTTTTTCATCTCCAGTGGACTCCAGTCCCGAAATTCCTCGCAGAGAGACAAAATATAATCTACTTGGAATTTCAAAAATTTCAAGACAAAAACCAGGTCACAGACATTCAGTCAGACGAAATGTCTGCGTATACATTTAATTAAAATAATAATTCAAATAATTTTTGAAACAATTTATTTATTTGTTTGTATTTTTAACGTTCGAACTAAATAAAATTGCAAAGTGGTTGTTAGAGATATAATCACTCGAAGTGCGCATTTTTAAATTTCACGTTTCGTCGATAAGAGTCCCATTGTAATAGTAACAGTACTAAACTGAGAACGTTTATGACATAATAGTCGTAAAAATTTTACGTTTCTAAGCGCGCTGGCTCGCGACGACGACGGCGGCAGTAGTGACGTCATTCGCAGGTGGTGCGCCACCGCCACTCCGTCTCCCGTTCACCAGCCGCCGCCGGCAGCGTCCCAAAATCGATAACAATTAACGGACGTCGCGCAATAAAAAGAAAACTCGAGCACCAAATGCACACAGCACGTACATTGCGCACCTGCTCTAGTTCGGATCATTCCATCGTTCAAGCAGGGAAATTGTTGCTTTAAAAACAATCTAAAAAACCACTTAAAAGTAGGCAATTTAAAGTTTTCATTTTGCAATTCGGATAAAAATTGGTTAGTATTTTACGCGTCAATGAGCAACAACCAAAAACGTTGTTTTTATTAAGAATTTAACAAAATATAGCCTCAAATAAATTAAATTAAAAGAGTCAAACGAGAACACAAATATACAGTGTTTTCGTCTGTTCTACCACGTTGAACTACACATATTTTTTACAATTGCGAATATCTCGTAAACTAAAAAAGATAGAAAGGAATGAGTAGCAGAGTCTTAATCTACGGGCAATTCTCTATCAAATAAGCTAGTTAAATTGCAAATTTAAGAGAAAAAATTTCATTCGTCAGAAATAAAATATGAAAGGTATTAATGGTGATAATTTTTATCGACGATTTTTGATAATTAATATCTCTTCAACAAAAAGCGATAGCAACCAACAAATTGCTGATTATGAAAGATTGGAGAATTCTCTATCGGTTATAAATATAAAATAATTATATCTCCAATAGTAAAAGATCGAAAAAAGCGACTAAAAGTGGTAAAAAGTGACATTTCTCAATTTTTGTCCATTTTATTCAATCGCGAATATCTCGTAAACTAGAAGAGATATTTTGGATCTGATCGCAGCGTTTTAATCTACGGACTATTCTCTATCAGATAGGATAGTTAAAACGGAAATGTAAGACATGAAATTTTCATTCTTAAGAAAAAATTTGCCAAGGGGGGGTGCTTGATAATTTTTATCGATGATTTTTGATTATTAATATCTCTTCAACTAAAAGCGATAGCAACCAACAAATTGCTGATTATGAAAGATTGGAAAATTCTCTATCGGATAAACATATAAATTAATTCTATTTCCAATAGTAAAAGGTTGAAAATCGCGACTAAAAGTGCTAAAAAGTGACATTTCTCAATTTCTGCCCATTTTATTCAAACGCGAATATCTCGTAAACTAAAAGAGATATTTAGGATCTGATCGCAGCGTTTTAATCTACGGACTATTCTCTATAAGATAGAATAGTTTAAACGGAAATCTGAGAGATGAAATTTTAATTCTTAAGAAAAAATTGCCAAGGGGGGAGGTGCTTGATAATTTTTATCGACGATTTTCGATAATTAATATCTCTTCAACTAAAAGTGAAGAAATTTCTATCAGATAAAAATATACAATAATTATATTTCCAACAGTAAAAGGTCAAAAAACGCCACTAAAAGTACTAAAACGTGACATTTTTCAATTTTTGCCCATTTTATTCAATCACGAATATCTCCTAAACTAAAGGAGATAGAAAGGAACGAATCGCTGAGTCTTAATCTACGGACAATTGTCTATCAAATAAGCTAGTTTTTGAGTGAAAGCATCACAAACCTACAAACAAACACGTATTTTATTTATAATACTACTTACGATTTACAACAGATATTTTACCCTTAGAAAATATTTTAGCATGAATAATTGCACAATAATCAAAGAAATCGTATTTGCAATTTTAAACGCAACAGGAAAATTCAATTTCCCTTGAAAAAGTTTGTCGATACGCTGCTGATTAACGCGATTACACGCGATTATGCCCGCATTAAAACCACTCTCAGTCGAGCGGCGCGCGCGTCGCTATAAATAGATGTCGTACGCGAATGAATCGGATTCATAACAACGCGCAACTTTGAAAACTTCATTCATGCGCCGCCTTCATTCTCGCGCGCAATCGTCGATTAACACGTTCATTATTAAACTTGGAAAATCGGGACGTTTTCGTGACGCACGCTTAATTGATATCGATTGGGATGTTCAAAGTGTGCTCAAAGTGTTCCAAAGTGTTGCATTCGTAGTTGCTTTCGCAACTTTCAACTACAACTTTAATTATTGGTTATGTTTATAGAGAAAATAAACACTAGTCAAGGAATGGAATTTTAGTTGGCGTCGGACATGGATGTAATTAGCACTTGTCAGAGAGTATTATTTGTTCAAGACGTTTATTCACATGCTAATAAAAGTTTGTGATTCTGTACTAAATTTAGTGCGGAAATTTTGCGTATAGATCAGGTTATTATTAGCAAATAAACGTCATGTGTGTGTTAAACTCAAGCTTGAAATCAAGATTAAGAAATTTACGAGTAAATAATTACCAACTATTTCACAATAACTATTTCAAAATAAATTAAAATTGAAGTATTTAAAACTTAATTGCTCCAAATTAACAAGAGGGTAATTAATTCGGCTACTTTTTATTAAAATTTACGAAAACGAAGTCAAGAACAAAATTTAGTTTATGATAATCGAAGTTGGCGAGACTTTCATGAAATTGTTTCACAAATTTTCACAAAATCATACAAATCAAAAGTGCGCTGTATGCTTTTATTTTTATTTTATATTGTTATTCGGTTACAATTTCGGTTTGCTTTCGCATTTGTAAATAAATACTTGTTTGTTCGCAATGTTTCTACATGTGGTTGCCCGAGCAAAGCGCAGCAAAAAATTCCGCATACGTAAACATCCGAACTAAATTTAAAATTTGCATTTCCTGCACAATTTACAACAAAAATAAAACTAAAAAAACGATTTTCAGAGTTTATCGTTCTCTGCTTTGACTTTTAACGATCGTATTCTTAAACTTTTTTGATTATGATTGATTACTATTCCTTTGATTACTCTGCGCGATATGTTTGTTTTCGAGATTTGAATTTTTCTGTTTTTGCCCGGTTTAAGTTTACGTATTGATTTCTTGTCTGTCATTGATATCTCTCTTTATGACTCCTTTCATTGTGCGATATTTCAGTTGATTAAAACGTCGAAATTGTTCATCGTGCGCGCCGGGAGAGAAAAAAGCAGAAGCCCGCGCGCGTCGAGCCGTTGCATGCCGTTATAATTTCGCAGACGAAAACGAAGAATGCGACGATAAAACCGGAATGCAAACAGTCGTTAAATCATAAAATGCGAAATTAAACTTTGGCTCGACGCGTCGCGTCGCGACGCACTTTACGGTAGTTTGATGTCATCAGGGTCGTCAAAGTCACCGGAGTCGACAAAGCAAATGCAATCAAAGTCGTCGATACAAACAGCGCATTTAATTACACAGAGTGGGCAAATAACGCATTTCGATAATTAAAACATTTGATATTCATAATTAAAATAGGATTTTATTGTCTCTGAACGCAATTATGTTCCATTTATTAAATGGGATCGAGCTGGCTGACATTTATTATAGACATTTGCCATTTATTCAAATGAATTCTAATTTCCGTCATTAATATAATAATTAAACACATTTTAATTCATTCAAAAATAAAGCAGTAAAGTAAGTAAAAGGAAATAAAATAAAATTTACAACCCTTTTGATCTATTTTAAAGGCGCCATTGTTGCCAATTCTAACCTCAAAACAACTAAGAACTTATCATGGCCAACTTAGAGAACAAAATTATTAAACATTAAAGAATCAAAAATTTGCTTTTTCTTCCTTTATTATATAACCCTTCAACAAATACAATCGTATAACAAATTAATCCTAATTTTGCAAAGAAGCAATCTTAACATATGCCAATAAACAAGTTATATATCGATTATTACGATGATAATTATAATTAACAAGGTCTCTTTTAACACAAATGATGTACTACTAAGTGTGAACATTTCTATCAGTTTTTCTTTAGTCAGTTGAATTAAGTTATCGGCCAAATACTTAATTGTTGACGCGTCTTAAGCTAGATGGCGACCATTTGGCGAGAGGATGGCCGCCATAACGAAATTAACATTACTCCAATATCTTTTTTTTTGTTGCTAAGGCACAACACCAAAGCTATATTAAAAAAACTGAAACAATAAAACAAATTATTTATTAATTTATAAATAAAATATGAAAATTTTATAATACTTACCAATCCAGTCATCTTTATAAACGCACTATTAAACATTATGCAAATGAAAAAAGAAATATAAATTGTAGAAAACGTGTAAATACTCGGCCATCTTAAGAAGTCCGCTTTTCCCGGGGTAGGATACGATTGACTTGATATTATGGCAATCCACCAACATTGGAGGGCCGCGCGTTACCCGCCATGTTGCTGGAGCAGGTTTATTGTTGTTGTCAGGTCGAGGAGTTTCGAAAAACTGACGAGCTTAAGATTTTATCCTTCAAAGTTATTTCGCATAAACAAATATAAAGAAAAACAAAACAATTACATGGATATATTGATAAACTTATAAATACGCATTTGTACAATATCCAAAGATGTTTTGATTTTGTTATATTATCTTTTGTTTTAAATTTTGTAATGTTTAGATACTTATAATTACGTATTCGTGTTGCTTGGACTTTTTGTTGGTGGAAAAGCAGAGCCTCCTTTGTCTCGTCCGCCAGCCGAGGCGTATATTGCTGCCTTTATTCCGCCAGCTTGTTTGATTCCAAAAAGGTTTTTCCTCTCGTTTGAGTTCGTTTTCTCGCTTCTCTGCTGCTTGCTTTGTGAGGCGAGTGCGCGGCATGCTGGAGCGTAGGGCCCGATTGGCCTCTGGAAGTTCTTTTTTTGTTCTCCTCCTGCGTTGCGTTCTTTTGTGATGCACATTTTTGCCCGGCCGTGTGGCCAAAGTTTAACGAAGCAAGGGTACAAGTTAAAGTGCAGCCGAGCACAAATTTACAAAAAGTAAAAATTTAACAAAATATAAAGTAGGTAAATCTATGATAATAAACTAAATAATATAATATTTTGATCTAAATTTACAAAAGATTTACAAAATTTTATTTTTGACAAATTAATTACTTTAGCTAATTAATTATTTTTTTACGTATTCTGTGTAGAATCCATCGAAAATATTCTTAATTTTAATTTTAAAAAAACGAAAAATTCAAATATTGAACTTTGCGCCATTTAGTTTTAAATTGTATAACTAAAACGGTGATTTAATCACTAAACTAAATTTTACCCCTTATTTTACACCCATAAAGTTATAATATCGGTACAAAACTTTACATGATTATCCACCAGGCTAATTTAAAACTTGTATGAAAATTTAATCAAAATCGATCGGACCGTTTTCGATTTAATAAGGAACATTTATATATTTATATATTTAACTAAAATATTTGATATTTTAGAACTGACCCGACACTCAAATGTAATATTTATTTAATTTGTTTTTATAAATTTAATCTACCTACTATAAAACTTTACATTTTCAACAAAATACCCCTTAAACTTTGCTAATTTTAAACAGAAAGTTAAAATACTTCATCTTATCCCACCGCAGACACCTAACATATACCAAACTTTACGTTTATAATCTAATAAAAATTCTAATTGATTAATTACCCAGTCCGTTGCACTGTGCACATGGGACAGCGTCGGAACTAATCCCGGAATTTGTCTGAATAAAACATTACCCGGCCATGATTCCTCCAGGTTGCCTTGCCGCTTATCCGAGCAATATACAAACTGTCCGAAAGAAATTACTCAAAAAGCAAAACGTCTGCAGCGTTTTCTTACCCATTGCAATGCGGGCATGAGCATTAGAGATAATGGTAACATTGTAAGCCAGAATTGGATGTTGTGAAATAAATTTCTTCCGTGGCGTCCGCGCGTGCATGGTGAGTAATTGTGACTCGCGCGCAATTTTTCCACGTTGTTTTTGGTGCCTCGAGGCCAATTATCCGGCAAAGCTGCTCCACTTTTAACGCGCGAGCGTGGTACTTGTGTTTTCTTTGCTTGGCGATTAGCACGCTAATGTTGCAATTGTTACCAATGCGCGAAATGTTGAAAAACGCAAGTGATGCATGCAGCGCCATTTATATAGGAGAGCAATATAAATACGGCATGCAACCGACGTCATTTAATTGGAACGCGACCATTCGACCAAAACAATGGATGGTACAAAGTGCTAAAAGTTTATTTTTGGTCTGGTTTATGTTTTATTTACGATACATTTACGATTCAAATGTTTTCGTGTTTTACTAGTAATGATTAGACGATTCTGCACCACAAGTCAAAAGTAGCGCTATCTATTATCCATTACAATTACAATTTCCACAAAAAATAGTTTTACAAATGTAGTTACTCTAAATGATTTGTTTATTACAAAGTCGAAATCATGGGCATTTGCGTGAATACGTGAATAATTCCTGTGAGTTCACTTCACCCTGCTTCCGATTCCGATCCTGATCCTGACGCGGGTTGCGAGTCAGCAAAGCAAAGGAAACCGCGCGCTGAGCCCGCAACGAACGTGTCGCCTTTCATTCACGAGCTCATCTTTCATGCGGGATTAGTTTAATGTGTAACCGCATCCTCCGCATCATCCTGGGTTCCATGTGTGAACTTCGAGAACCTCAAGCAGGCACCAGGACATTGAACAACACGCGCCGCGCCTACTTTGAGGATTTTACAAATCAATTCACTTGATACAATATTAAATTTTTATATAAGAGTACTCTATTTGAATTATTTATGTATACGGTGTTTTTTTTTTATGTTGTGGGTGGAACATTGACATTTGATGCGAAAAACAAAAGGTCATTAGTAATATAGTTGGTCGGTAGTAAAGGAAAATCGGTATCTTTTAGTAACATAATTATTTCAGCAATAGATTTGTTGTTATCACTGTCAAATTGCAAAAAATGCAAAAAATGTAAATGGGAGCTTGTTTTTGTTTGTTTGTGACGCTTTCACGCAAAAACCACTAAAGCAATTTTGATAAATTTTGGTACACATATAATTTTGACCAATGAAAATGATATAGACCACTTTTTATTGTAAAAATATTACTTAAAAGGTGTAAAATAAGGGTTGGAAGTTAATATAGAGATTCACTCATCATTATAGTTATATAATTCATACCTAGATGGCGCTAAGGTGATTCACAAGCAGTTTTCATGTTTTTAAACAAAACTTTGGAGTTTTATTAACAAATTTGGCATATAATAAGTCAAAAAAAAAACAAGAAATTAATTTTGACGCTGCTTTTTTATTTCTTTTCTAATTAAATTTTAAACAATCGCAATAAATTGGTTTTCAAAATAAATTGATTTACATTGTGATATTTCTTCATCGCGTACAAAATTTATTGGCGTTTTTATATTTAAGATTATGTTTTGTTTGGGAATAGGTAGGGTTCAATTAATTAATCCTATGCACACACGTAGGTCTCGCCATGGCAATTAGCAATTGGTAATAATTAATAAAGGTCACAGCAAAGGTATAGGCGGCGGCGGCGGTAGCGGCAGCGGGCGAAAGTAATCGAGCCGAAAATCCACATTTTCCACTTGATTAAGCGCGCACGTGAAACACGCCCGTGCCTGGATCACGTTCTATCGTGCTCATGAGCAAAATAAAGCTAATTGTATAACGTCGCTGGATATCCTCCTTCTTTGCTATTCATCTCACTGCGGCTGGCAGTGGTACGCACCGTACATTGTTCATCAGTTTCGCCTCATTCAACCCGCTCATGCCTGGTTAGTTACGCGATGGTTGTTTGTTGTTTGTTAATTTAATGGCTGGCGCTGCCTGCGAATCGAAAACTCGCAACGCAAAATCGAAATGAGTTAATGATGAGTTCGGATATCAAACGTTGCGCCCATGTGAGGAGCAGTTCCGGACGCCTGCGGGTTGCCTACCCGGTGAGGAATGAGGGATAAATTAATAATTCACAATTGGGCAAATTATTTATGCGCAAGGCGCGGTCCCGTCACTAGTGAATATTCGATTTAATATGCGCATGAACAAACGCGTGTGTAAATGCGTGCCATGTTGGAAACATTAGGCGAAATTACAAAACACGACGAAAGTCTGTCAAACTGCTACATTACACTGCTGTTTTATTCATCCAACTTGAATAATTAGAAATTAAATCTTGTATTACATTCAGTTGTGATAAACCTAACCAAACATAACCTATTATGCAAGTAATATGTGTGTGTGCGGTTGCCTATGTTAACGTTTTTAATATTTTGCAATTTTCTTATTGTGTGGTCGTGGAAAATCGTTACGTCCTTGCATGGCGCGCATCATACTGTTATAGCGGCGGGCATTGTTGCGGACTGTCATTTCCTTCGTCCTCGCGCATCGCGGCCCGCCGGCGTTTATTTCGCGACGTCTATCTGCGCGCGCGACGAAAACAAATGGAAACGAAAATGAAAATAATGAAAATGTAAATGGAAATGTTCGCAGCGCGTACTGCGAGTGTGACATTGTGGGCTGCACTAAATTTAGCAAGGGTGGAAATTCTTTCGGGGCGCCAAGGACTTTATTTCTTTAATTTTTTTTCTGTTTTTATACGAAAATGCGCTAAATCATATCATGGAATTTTTATTGGATTTAATCAAAGAATGAAATATTTACACAATAACGAGGTTTTTGTTGCTTTTTTCGAGGAAGGAACGTTGTATAGTATAAATATTTATTTTAGGAGGATTACAATAGTTGTATAAAGTACATTAATATGGATTACGGCGCATTTTATGGTTGATTTTTTGACGGCAAAGAAAATAAAGTGAAAAAGGGGTTAATATTTATTTTTAGGTGCTTTTTCCTGCTTTAAGGTTATATTTTTAAAGAATTGTGTTCAAAATACACCAGAATAACACAAATATATTTTAAATTAGAATATTTTCATCGTTTTTGGCTTTAAAACAAGGAAATTTGTGAAAAGAATTACTTTTTATGTTCTAACTTTTATATTTCGAGGTTATGGCATAAAATATTTGGTTTCACGTGTCTAAAACTTTATTATTTCCCACAAAATATACCTATAACAAATCAAATAACTCCTACAGAAACTCATTATGGCAAGTTTTAGACATAAAAAACAAGTACAATTGCTCAAAACTTAGGTTAGTTCACATGTCAACCACTCATAACCTCATTTTTACCAACTGACAGCTATAAACCAGGTTAAAATGCAAATAAAACAATAAATTTATAGAATAACGTGTTTCTAGTCTTGAATATTAGAACACAAAAATAATAATATTTAGTATCATTGCAAGTGTGGCACGAAGCACACTCATAGTCCGCCGACGGAATCGATGGCGAGGCAGGCGCGCAGGTGGCTGGCGGCGGCAGGCGCGCACAAGAGTGGCGGCGCGCGACGGCAGGGTGGTCCGTGGCGTGTGCGCGCCGCGCGGGCCAACAGTTGGTTCCCAGTTCGCGGACGGCCTGCTTCGCGAATCGTCGTCATCGAGGAGAGCGAGCGGTCCGCGGTGTCCGCGAGCGCGCCGAGTGTGAGTGAGCGCCGTCCGCGCTGCATAATTAATCGACCGCAATTAACGTACAATATATTACGCGCGCGCCCAGCCATCCACCACCCCCTCCACCCGCTGTGCACGCTTAAATAATTCAACTACGTCATTCTGCGATATTACGTCAATATCGATCGGGGATATCGATCGGTAGTGTGGGATTTACAACGCACAACGCACAAAGAAGAAGGATCCAGGACTTTAAATCAACTAATCAAACATATTCAGTGGATTATTATTGTGTTTGTGTGTTTGTGTGTGTGTGTGAGTGTGGTTTGTTATCATTCGTCCGGGACTTAAGCTTCTTAAAGTGAAGAGTAGACAAGGATTGACAAACGACAATTAAACCCCTGGAATTAATTCGGCAAAGGCAAACGAGGGCGTAACACATTTTAATTATGTAGAAGCAAGGCCCGAATTCATTATCCTGACTGACAAGTCACAGGAACATCAAAACAATGTTTGTGAGAGAATATAAAGGGAAATATTGAAGGTGAATTATTTGATACTTGTGCGCTTGCAATGATATTGCGCACTATTCGCGAATCCCGCTCGCTCAGATGGTCTCGTCGTTGGTGATGCTCTTCGGCGATATGAATCGCTCGGAGCAGGAGAACCTCTACAGGACGTCGCGCAAGCTGAGCCTGGTGCCGATCCCTAATCCAACAGGTGGAGAGCGGCGGCATTCCGGTAAGCCCACCAGCGACAAGCGGAAATAACTAAAAAAAATTGATGAAGAAATTAGCGAGAAAAATTCTGAATGAAAAAATATCTGCGCATCGCTTTGTTTGCTTGTTCATGTTTCTTCTGTTTGCAAAAATTTAAATTTTTGTTTTATTTTGATAAATTTATAGATTTTTTGTGTTAAATTTGCTTTTTTTGGGAAAATAATTTTAATTTGCTTAAGGCTGTCGGCGTTTTGAAAGTGCGCGCTCGATTCGACTGCGATTTTCTCACCGTCTGTGTGTTTTTTCTAGGTGTGTGATAGAGTTGTGCTCGTTGTGTCGTGCTCGCGCATTGTCGGATTGTGCTTGTGTCGAAATCGATGTTGACTAATCAATTAACACGCCGCGCGCGCGGCTAAACGCTAAAATCGCAGAGGGTCGAGAGCCGAGCGCCGAAATCCCCCAGTATTGTTGTCCGTTGTTGTTGCAAAAGACGAGAGAGCGAGGCCGGAGTTGAGAGAAATGCGAGCGCACAAAACAAAGCAATCGTTCGCGAACAAGCTCACGCTCACCACCTCCACAACCACCGCCACTACCGCGATCACCACCACCACCACCACCACGCCGAGCCGCCACGTGCTGTGACACTCAAAGCGTTTTTCTTGGTTGTTTATTATGCTAGCGCAACCCGCCTCGACGAAGGCCTACGACGACAGGACTGCGCCGGCGGGCACGGGGGAGGACTTGGTGCTGAGCGTGCTCAAGTCGCCCGTCAATCATATCGAGGACGCTGCCGACGTCTACCATCAGGATGTCTGCGTGGACACGAGAGAGGATAGGTAATAACCGAGCCGCCTGGTATGAAATTGACAGAAAACTGGTTAAAACCTACTGCGCATGCGCAACAGAAAATATATTTAAGATTATTATCGCAACCACTTTACTTTCAACGCCTTTTTATCTCAATTTTATTTTCGAGAGTAGTTTTATATTCTTGATTCTTGTTTATTCCATGCATTATTTGTGATTATCGCGTCCCGCAGCGGCACAACTTTTCGTTTCACTGCAAAGTGGCAAAAAGTAAAAGTAAAGTCTTGAAAATCTCCGAGGAAGTGGCGGATGCGCTCCGGCGAGTGATTTATGGATATAACGTGCTCTCGAGGTACTGATAACGGTCGTATCGCCCGTCGGAAAGCAATTAATTTATATTTACGTTACAATTTCCACCGCAAAATAAAAAATTTATCGATATCTTATTTTTGCTCAGTAAGCGTTTGATAGTTATGTAAATCGTTAAACATGAATTGAAGTCGGTGCAGTAATAATGAAACGTTTGCTGAATATTAATTAATCACGTTTTCGACCACACTTCGCTGGTAATAATTTCGCTGTGATTTACGCGCTCATGAATAAGGAACGATCCAAACCACGATAATCTTCTTCGGCGAAGAGATTGCATGTTGAAATGCACAATTCGATCGGTTTCCGATTACTTTATAATTGAATTCTAATGTCAAGTAGAGTCATTTGCATTACATTAATATGCAATGCGCATGCGCGGTAGCATTTACGAGTAATCTGTCAAATGGTGAAGCATCAATGAATTAAAATCAACTTTCTCTTCGATTTTCTTCATAATAAATGGATTTAATTTATTGGAAAATCAAAAAGGAGTGAAGATGATCTCACCGATTGTGACCATCCGGAACGTTTGCCGTTCCTGTCGCGATTACGCGGCCATCGTTGTCCGCGCATCTTTGAGGCACACCACAAACGTGTCCCGACGCCTCTACGTCGCAAACAACGTTTTTCCCGGAATGCTAAACACCAGGATGTGGTGGCACCCGCCGATGTGGATGACGACGATGACGATGATGAAATCGTCGGTCCTGACAGTGGCCCAGGCGACGCTGAAGATGGCGTCCCGCCACGTGGTGTCCCCGACCCATACTACCCCATTTATCTACCCATCGATCAAGCTTTTAAGGCGAAATACGTCTTTCATCACAAAAAAGGGAAGACGGTGCAGGAGCGGACTTATGTGTTTCTAGAACATCCCACCGGGTGGATATGCTTCATCTATCATTTCACTGTGTGAGTATCTACGCATTGATAAGAATATATAAATGACATATTAAAATGATTTATTGTGCGATGAAAAGTTATGTATTCATGCACACGCCTCACATGCGTGCAAACATTGTTTACGACGCTGAAAACGATTGAAAAACGTTGGCGGGCATAAATAACGAGGTGATACACGTTGTCAAAATGACAATGTCGTACGAAAACATGAATGTTGTTGCTTTGATGAATTACGCATGCTTTCCAAGCAGAAAATACAAAAGTTGGTTCAACACGAAAAGTAATTTTGGTCGCAGGTAATGAAGCCAATATCAAATTACTTCATTTGTAGGTATGTATATCCAGGGTCGCGGTATGAAATACTCCATCAAACGTGCTTGACGCCCTCGAAAACGGTAAAAAATCCCAAAAACTTAATGAATAATTGATATCTTTCGATACACGCGGCCGCAAAGTGATGGATGAAGGGCACCACAATCACTTATGCCCACAATTTCGTTTTTGGTTTACATGTTAGTTCTTTAGTGAGGTTTTGTAAGTCAAACTTGATGCAAACATGCGAATAACAATGTTTTTTGGCTTTTTGCTGCGCTGGATAACTCGATAAAATAAATGAGGAAATATACACACGGCATTTCGAATTCGTGCCCGTGCGGTTTCCATATTCATGCGCCCACTACGCGTGTGATTAATCATCTCTAATTGTTGGTCTTGTTCGTGAAGAAATTTCGTGACGGTACACTAGCGTGATAAAAAAGAACAACGCCACAAATGTGACGTGGTTCATTGTAACACTGTTCGAAAATGTTGTGTCACGCGTTTTTCCATTTTCCACCTGCTAACCGAGTTACGGTTCCAGTAATTCGTCATTTATCATCATCGAGTACATGAAACACGCATATTTAGATTTGCGTGTTATATACCAAATGTTTACGTAAACAACAAAAGAATAAATAGAATAGAATTGTTTTGAGGTTATTTTTAAGTAGAATAATGACAGAATTCAATGACATTAATTTTTAGGATATTTTTTTTTACTTTTTCGAATTTTAGCCAAAATAATTGAGTAGTGAGTATTTAAGGTTATGTTTTGTGGAATTAGGGTATATATGCTTGCCTACCACTGTGTATTGTGTTAGTCTTATGCTATTAACACGTTGAAATAGTAAAAAAAATCATTTTTAAGTCATAGTTGTGTGAAGTTTTAAATTTTTCAATTTTTTTCTGTTAAATTTGCCGTTTATAACCGACTGTGTCTAATATTGAACCACGTTTTGTGCGTTAATGTATTTAATGCGTTTTGAGTTGTCGGGGTACGTTAATGGCAAGCATTTCCACGCTTTTCCCCGCGGGCGGCGCGCTAGCGCGAAAATCCATACGGCGTCCTGTTGTTAACACGGCTCATTAATGGCGCTCGTTTTGTCACCGGCCCGATCACACATTAACGCCAAATCACTGTCGGACTAGAAAAAAAAGCACGGAAGGGTTTGTTTGCGTTCGTTTTAACCGATAGCAGAGCCAAGGGTGGTGATTATTGACGAAAAATGCGACAAGGGTGTACGAAGGTCAACTATTTTTACACCTTTTTCATCATGAATCAAACATTAAAACCAAATCAATAATAGAATAAAAGTAAAAAATAAATTTTTATATATAATTTTATATTAGGACTAGTTGTGTAAGTACTAAGGTACATGTTGACTGTTTGTTGATCGCATAAGCTGGAGGAAAACCAACAGCAGCAACAACTTCTCGCTTGGCTTTGCTCTCGACAAGTTGGAAGTCGGGCGCTAATGGAAGTCCGCCTGTAATGCGCTGTCGCCAGGGCTCCTCGTGTGCCCCGGCGTGTTCATAATCGAAACATTAAAGTACCCAGCGCGCAGAAAACACGACGACAAACACGCGAAAGAGCGCAAACGACCCAGATTGCTGTCGGTGGTACCTACTACTCTCGCTTTTCCGGTCGCCGCCGAAGGCATTAATGTTATACTTACGCATTATATGTGCATCATGCATCCTGCACTAAAACATACACGTGGAAATTAATTAATTAATTATAATTTATTATAAAATTTGAAGAAATTTATGAATTGTTGAATTTTTCAAATATCTTCAAGTATGATTATCCTCTCTTGGTCGTAAATAACACAGCACTTCTGTAATGTTAATGGTTTCCCCGTGGCGACCACATTACATCCCCGATCCGCACCTGTGCGCCGCGCCGGCGCTGGCAATTAAACCGCGGGTGCTGAAAAGAAAAATTGCGCCGCTGAAAAGTGTCGCGTCGTGCATTCGACTCTTGGGCACGCGCATTCATTGCGGCGGCTCGTTAACAGCGCGCAGTATTTAACGAATACTCTCGTGACCTCCTCGGCGCGGTGGCAACACTTTTTGAGTTTTGTGTTGTACGATTCAAACGAAATGAATGCTTCAATACGCCGGCGACGTGATAGGTCGACCGCGAGCCAACGCGCGCAATATAACGTTGGTATTTTTAGACAGGATGCCATTATCTGGTAGTTTGTTCCGTTGCTTTGTGCGGAATTCTGTAGAACCACGCTTTTTTGTGTGCATTTCCACGTGATATCGTTATAGGTTATGGATTTCCGTATTTGATAACTGTTTTGTATTCTATCCTTCAATAAAAACAACAAAAACAATAAAAAAAAAATTAAAAACTGCTCAATACTTACCGAGAATTACTGACATTTAACATTGACCAAAATAATCAAAGAAATCAAAAGAAAAACCTAAAACAACCCATGAAATTAGTCGATTACTTTTTTTATACTGCAAGGTCAAGTGTCAAGTTAATACCAAACATGGAAATAATTAACGAGCAGTGAACCAGTCAAAGAAAACGAAAGTAAGCAACTTTATATCAACTTTGCGGGACATTCTCGACTAATAACACAATAAACTTTAATCTACCATTAATCGCAACTTGTAACCGCCGTAATAATTCACTCTTATCGCAAAAGAAAATAATTTTCTCATTTCTCGAACACGTTTTGAAACAATCATTTACAACATCATTTAGTTTGTAGCTATAATTTATAATAATCGTCGCGATATTTCAACATTCACATGTTTCACTTGTCGCTTATTACAGGCACTTGTTTATTTAAATGAAATTACTGTTGGTGGCTGAAAAGGGCAAAAAGTCTGAATGGAAAAAGTGGCGAAACACTAAAATATGTTAAATGCGAGCGCGCCACTTGAAACCAATCTAAATTCGCATCTAGTAAATGCAAATCTGCGCGAGACGGTGTGTGATATGCAAATGTCGCCGTGATTAACATAATAATTAAGTTAGTTCAAGTGCGGGTCTTAATTTTATGACTTTTACGACCTCTGGCGATAGTTTTAATTGCCGAAAGAAAATGAGTCAAAGGGGCGAAGCATTCTGTGTTATATTTTGTATTTTCGGACGTAAAAAGCAAAGAATTTTGCGTATTTGCATGTTTGGCGACTATTTATACACAATCAAGTCATTAAATCATAAAATTAATATGTGTACGAACAAAAATAAATTAAAACACGTCATAAATATTCAGTGTAGCCATAAAACTTGGTTAGATTTTTCAAATTGATAAAAATATTTCTATTCGCAGCGTATTTTGATGAAAATCTAGAATACGCGGCGTAATTTTTGTTCTAGATGATTACACATCGATAAATACCTTGTAATTATTACTTTTTTCGGTATTTGTGGTCACGTGAAACTACATTCAACTTAATTATAATCATTAGTCACTTCTTTGTTACATTGTGAACAACATTTTCGCCCCATTTTTGTTTTTTGTGTTTTACTTTGCAGGAAAATGAAAAGGGATTACAGAAATCCGATTGTTTCATTTCTTGGAGCAGTTAATTTGATTTCTGCATGCATTGCGGTCTGGGTGCATGTTTATCGTGAGCAATAACAATAATTTTCGGGCCTCATCGCAAAGCGGAGCGAAACAATTTACGCGAATAAAAAAAAACGTATACCGCCGGCCGACACGCACACGCCAACTCACGAGCGGGTTTCTGGTAGAGACAAAACCATAGGGGGTGGGCAGGTGGATAGGCAGCACACAAAAGTTGTAATTGCGTGCGGCGGCGTCGTTTAAAACAATCGCGATTATTATTCCCATGTGGTGGGCGGCGAACGCTCTATTCCCGCTTGGTATGCCCACAGAGATAATTTTTATACAGTACATCTCATAAAATACTAAAAATTTCATCAAATTTTTATCTGTTTCACAAAAAATTGTTTTGATGATTTCTAAGAACGTATTGGTACCAGTTTCTAATTAAGAAAAGTATCGAAACTAGGTTATGACTCATGTTTCGCAGTAAAATCCACTTCTAATTGCGTGATTTATCCGCTTTGCGTGCGCAAATATGGCAAAAACGCGAAATTCCAATTCGGGTGAATTTCGCGCAAATTCAGGCACACGTTTGCGCTTAAGTACACAAAAGTAGTAATCACATTGGCCGCGCATTTTGCGTGCCACGGTGCAACTTTCCATAAGACGGACTACATTGAAGTTCGGAGCAGTCTTGTTATACGCTCGTGAAGTTTAATTTTGTGCGGCTTCTCATAACTTAAATCGCGCTCGGGTGCACTTAAACGCATTCGGATTTAATATGTCAACTTGGGGCAATTTCCGGAGCGCAGGCAAACTTTAAAATGTAAATGTTGCTATTTAAATGGCAATTTTGTTAGTTTTCATAATAATTATAAATTATTCTATTGTATAAAGTGCGCATTGTAAAAAAAATACAATTCCAGAGTTTACTCATAAATGGCAACACTAATTAACTAAGTATATGCATTTTAGGTTAGATTTTACTGATATTTTAAATTTTATTAAATTTACTTTAAGATATCCTCTTTCCCCTTTAAATATTTCTCCTTGTGACTTTTCAGCACGAGAAATGTTGACTCTCGTTGTGTGTACGCGTATTCAAAGTGACGCAGATGTTCCGAAACGCAGACTTGACGCTAAATATGCAAATTACACCCGCCGTCACACAGAGAACACAGCCGGCATGTGCATACATTTCGTCCTTTCGTGCGTTTTCTCCCCCCGGCTCAACGTCCTGCGCGCTCGCAACATGTTTGTCCTGCGCTTCCGTGCGCAAACCCAAGCGTTCCGGAATTTATTGTCGATGTTACTCATCGCAAAATAGGCCGCTAGACGCAAACAAATTGGCACGTGAACGACGAGAAAACGGGAATGATTAGAACGATGACTATGCGTTCAGAATGCGACTGAGACTTGGGCTTCTGGATTGTGTTTCACCTCGACACGGATCGATAAATTTAACATGCGCCCGCATGTCTCGCAAACCGTAAAGTTGACTCTGGAGTTGAATTCAGTCGAAATCATTCCGAAACTCAACTCAACTCGCGAACACGAAAGCTAGTTTGGCAGTTGCGTGCGTTCAGATTTGCCATGTGTCATGAGCTGTGAACTCGTTTATTTCTTCGTTTTGCACATTCCCCCGTCTAGTTTCTTGTAAAGATTGAAGTCGTGCACAGTTTTCACTGACTCGTTTCGCGACTGGTGGATTTTTTTGCGCACGCCTGCCACTTGTTACACGAAGTTTGGTGAAACTTCAGGCTTCAAATTCAGGACTGCTTGCGTTGGAAGGTGCTTTTATGTCGTCAACGTCGGCAACTTTGAGGCATAAAAATACGCAGTACGATCAAACGTCGTGCGCAGTTTACAACCCCTACGGATGCAAAGTGTTGTGCATTTTGTGCTCAAAGTATGCAAACGCGCGCATAAAATGTGCGATGAACACGCACGGCGGCGGAAAACGGCGATAACATTGACAATAAACTTAAAATGTGCTGCAAGAGATAATGTTTATTATGAGACTTTGGGCGAGAATTAATTTTTATTGGAATTTGCATTGAAATTGCATTTTTGTGTCTTGGTAGTAAAGAAAAACTTTGATTATAAAAAGTATACATTTTATTTATCTTGCTTTAGTATTAAATTTGTTAATGTCAGTAAAACTAGAAAATTGTTGGATCGATTTTGCTGTTTTTGGTTTTGAAATATTTGTAGAAGTCTGACAAAAGCTCAAAAAAATGAGAAAATGTGAAGAAATTGCAAGGAAAATAGCAAAACCGCCTTTTATTGCAAAAATATTACTTGAAGATTGAAAAATAAGCGAGTTATTTAAGTCACACCTAGATGGCATTAAAATGCATTTTAAACATTGTTAATTTTTTTTAAATTAAAATTAAGGATTATATAAGTACTAGTTGAGAACAAAAACTGCAATATCTAAATACTAACAATTATTGTTAGTTAATGTTAACATGATAAAGCCGATGTTGATTTTGGTGTTTTTAAAATTTGATAAACTGAGTGAGATTGAGGTTTGACGTGTTTTAACCGAAACAAATTCCATTACTAGAATGTTACCCATCACCCCGCCTAAATCCTGTCATGCCCGCTGACAGATGAGGCAGTTGTACATGATGAAATTCCATCATGTGTGTTTTGGTTTGCGATTTTTACATTTTCGCATATATTTGCGTTGCGTTTGCATTCGTTATTAAATTTTCATCCGCTCGCCGACGTCGCGCGCGCCGCAAAAAAGAGTGCATATATTGATTTATGCTTAATAAAAGTCTCTGTTTGCTTTTTATTCCGGCTGCGGTTTACGAGCGCGCCGTGCGTATAATTAACGCCGAAATGGCGCAGTGCCGTCGATGCGGAGTGATATGACATTTATAGTGTCGTGCCGGTCGCGCGATGGCACCGAATTTACTGCCGCTCGTCGATGCGCTTATAAAATAAGAAAAGAGTGCAATAATAAAATTACAATGGTAAATATTACAAACTTATCTAGACATTCTCGTAAATCATTTATAGGTAGATACTCGGATATTTTGAGGACTATAAATCAAAAGTGCAATAAACAAATAATTTGTTGATTTTAATGATTTTATGATGATTCAAACATTTTTTTTATATCTTTAAATAATAATTTTTGATACTTTATTAGTTATTCTGCTGTTCGGAATGGTAATAAATCTAATAAATCATAAATTATCAAAATTTGCCTAGACATTCTTAAGTTATAAACGTTGTAACTAACACGACAGTTTTCGAATTTATACCTCTATACACATTAAATATAAAATATTTTGATTAAAAAAATTATTTTAACGACCCTGCATAACAGGGTATGCCACTAAAATATAAATATTTATTCCCGTGAATTATTTTTCCAAAAATTTAATAATTTATAACAATTATTCATTATTCAAAACATTCAAATAAATTAAATATTGTATCGTTTATTAATATTTTATAATCAAAAACGTAACATAACACACTAATTAGTTAACAAGCGCGCCAAATTATTTATTGAGTACGCGTCAGTAAACATTCAAAATTCAAACAATTTGCAATGCGTCAATAACAAATTTATAGATATTTCAACTTTTGTTGAATATTTTCGCATATTCAACATGCGCAACGCCAAAAAAAAATTAATCCAACCAAGGAAAACAGAATGCATGCACATCGGCTAAAAATACTGCCTGCAGTTTACTTGCATCGCAAATCAGCGGGCAGTGTTTTAAAACAATTCGCTGCGCTTCGAGTATGAAATATTAAATTTTCTGCTGTTTTTAGAAGCATACCACCAATGAGGAAATGCTGACCGCAATGCAATTCACAATGAGATTTAAAATAAAACAAAAAATTAATTTGAATTTAAATTTTTAATTTAATGAATTATTTTTTATTCGTTAACAGATTCATGCTGGTCCTGGTGTGCCTGATATTTAGCGTACTATCGACAATCGACACGTATCAAGATTTCGCCAACGAAACCCTCTTCTGGATGGTAAGTACCACGCGCATGCGTATGAATAAAACTTGCTGTTTGCATCGATGTCTTCCATGAATGTGTCACTTTTTAAGTGTCTAGATGTTTAGGCCGACAAATGAATGCGCGCACTCGAAATACTTACATACATAGGCAAAACTGGGCTTCCATTAGAGACAAAACGCACCCTCTCACCATGCATGTTCGCGCTTCAAAGTCTCTGGACTCTGAAGCGCCAACGTGCATGCGAATATTCTCCCTCTTGTTTGATATAATGTTCGCAGGTTGTCACCATTTATAAAGTGATTGTAAGTAGAAACAAAATGTTATTTATCAAAACTTGCATTCACTATTCAAGTTGTTACAAGTTGTACCGTATTTATAAATAGATACCACGATATCTACAAGCAGTGTGTGGAAAACTACGTTGCACGCTGATTTTGCACTCGAATTTAGTCCGAATTACACAATCACAAGCAATTATTTTGTTAGTGGAGTGAATTGTCGCTTTCGAATTGATTGCCTTGCGGCGTGGAAAGATTGTGAGATTGAATGTCGATAGACATATCACTCGGCGAGCGTAATTGAGAAATAAGAACATTCGATATCTCATCATACCGACACTGTGCGGGGTATTGTGTTGAATTGACCTGCGTATAAATAATTCCGGTGGTAATGGAGAGAGAGTGCAGTACACGAAAATGTCAAGAGTTCAACCCGGTTCTTATTGTCGGTCAGTATTTCATTTCATTTCACATTGTTGAAGTGTGGAAAGGAAAAGTTTATTGCGAAGCCAAAGGAATTATTTTGTTGAAATCTACTATGTAAAAATTTAGTTACATTTATTATTATTGTTATTCATGTGGCATTTTGAGGTTATATTGAGGTTAATATGATGTGTTGCGGAATATATGTAACCCATCGTACGTTAAATGTGTATAACTAACTGCACAATGCAGTAAAATGTTAGTTATTAGCTTTTATTGGCAATTTAGTGTTTTTCTTTGTTTTCTTGAAATTTTTACATGCCAAAGTGACATAAATTTATAACTAACAACTTTTGTAATTTTTGAATTTCTAACTTCTTTAAAATTCCAACTTTTATAAAAAGTTTTTATATAATTATATCTTGAGCAATTCGAAATTAAATTAGCTATGAAATTAATTCAGTTCTGAAATCCAAGCAAACATGCCATTGAACGATGTTACCCCCGTGCGCATTGGATTTGGACTCATCTGCTTCATAAATCATCATAAATTGTGCGCGTCGGGTGTTAATTAAGCGTTGCGCCCTTTTGCGATGTTTGTTCGCATCGAACACGCTTGTTATTTGCCAGCCCTGACGCAAAAATCCACGCAGCACACATTGAAAGTATAATTTTCCTTATCAACAAATTTAATAACCCGTTGGAAACTCAATGGGTTCACCGTTCATTATATACTTATTTCACATCGTGATTGAACACTGTGCTCACTATTAATTTACCAATTTAAATTTAACATGCCTTTGCTTTACACTAAATTAGAAAATCATAATCATGATGCTGGCGATCAAAAGGCGCGCTTTTGCTTGATGTCGATCGATGTTTGATTGAACGAGCAATTAAACTTTGAAAAGCTGTTGTTTGATGAGCGGTCGACAGCATCAATGAGCTTTTGTTGCTTTTGTAGTTATTGATAGTAGTGATTAACTTTCGCGGAACTAAGATGGGTTTTTGTTACAGGAAATATGTCTCGTCGTGTTCTTTGGCGTCGAGTATTTGATTCGCCTGTGGTCGGCTGGTTGCCGATCCAAATACATGGGTTTTGCTGGTCGTCTACGGTTCATACGCAAACCCATCTGCATTATCGGTAAGTAATATAAATTAATACACCTTTTAACAATTAAAAGTGTTGATAAACCTGAAAATTTTGACCCAATTTGTTAAAAAATCAATTAAAAATTTCATTATCTAGGTTATGTTGTGTTGACATAGTAAAATATGCCATCTATCGGCATAAATATCTAATAATGTTATTAGAGTACGAAAATAATAGGTGTTTAACAATGCAACAAGTAATCAAAGCTGCTTTCGACCCATTGGCAATCTCCACGTATCTTGAGGCGAAAATTGCCGATCGATGCAGTTGTGTGTTTTTTCCGGCATTCACGTCGAATCATTAGCCGACGGTTCCGCGGACAGCGGCGGCGGGACGGCTATTGTCATGGGCTGCTCATGACCTATAATGTGTGTTACCTTGGCATGCCTTGCGCGCCTCTCATGATAAATTCATACGAAAACAGAAAATTGTCGGTAGCACCGCCGCCGCCGCCGTTCGCCGTCAATCGATAAGTGCGGACGGGCGGGCATCATCGCCGGCTATCAATTCCGACGCTCCGCCGAAGTTTAAGGGGGCGGAAGGCTATGGGAATTGCAACAAAGTCCAGGCGTGTTGTATAGATAGGTTATGAAGGTTTCTGATGGGAAAAAATTCCACTGGATTTTTATTTATCAATAGTGAATAAAAAATTTTTCATTAAAAAAGAGAAAATTATATAACACGAATTTATGAATAATGAAACTTTTAGTTTATAGTCGAGGCACTGAAGTAGATATTATTTTAAATTGAGAAAATTCAATAAAATGTTAATAAACGAAGTTTATTTCATACTAAAATAATTTATATCAGTAGATGAATAGTTAAATAAAAATAATATCAATGAATGCAATAAAATTCATGAAAAATTCAATAAAACTCGAAACGAAATGAACGCAATGTCGTAAATAAAGTCTTAAAACTCAAGCACTCGTTACGGTTACATCAACAAGATTAAAAAGATTAAAATGCGCGCTTTGTATTCATTGCGCCCCGTTTGATGCCCAGTTCGTGCCCGGCTAGACTTGCGTTTCTTTCATTAATAAATTGAGAAAAAACACATTTTGCATTTTATGCCGACGCGAATTACATTTCATGCGCGAATGCAACACGAAGCACTAAAAACAAACAAAGTAATATACCTACTCAGTATACGCGGGTGGTGGAAGTGCCTTGGGGTGTGGGTTACATACTAAAAAGAAGAAAAATAAATGCACGTGGAAAATCCGCGCGAGTTGAAAAAGACGGACAGTTTGCTTCGTTCTTCACCTTTTCGGCCTCGGCGTGCCCGCGCGCTCCCCCGCCAAGGGAAAATATCAACCGATCAATAAATAAGTAGTTTAGCTTTTATTAAGGTAAACTGTTCGGCTTTTAAAGGTGCCTCTTGCTTCTTTCGCGCTCAAGCACGCAATGCTTGCATTGTACTGCAGGAAAATTGCATGTGTTTTTTGTAAATTTTATTTTATTGCGGATAAAGTATAAACATAAACCTTTCGCGTTTATTTGATCAAGATTTTGATTAGTTTAAGTGTGCTTAGGTTATTCGAGTGGTGGATTCACGTGGTGTTGTCTTACGAAGGACAAAATGACACGTGGACACGTGTTGGCCAACTTGTATACGGCAGCGAGTATGCGGGTGTAAATAATGTACATTGTACACAATCTATATCGGTTCGATGTAATTAAATCGCGGACGCATTACACTGCCCGGAACAATATCAAATTTGACGCAATTGTGTTGTACACGTATTGATTTGTTTGCTCAATATCACGATAATGAGGTATTGAGATGTTATAATAGATGAAAATTGGTTTTTGCAAAATATTTTTTGAAAAAATTCGTCTTAAAAACATAAATGCATTTTTTTAGTTGAAAAGTTACGTTTTGAGCAACGTACTTGCTCAATTTCTTATATTTTAATAGTTATTCTCTTATTTGGCACGAAGATGAATCCAATAAATCATAGATCATCAAAATCTGCCCAGCCGTTCTTGAGTTATACGCGTTGTAACACACGCTAACTGGCTGCATATATTAATTAAGTAACTGTAACTTGTTACTTTTTTCCTTTTCTAGATTTAATTGTGGTAGTGGCATCAATAGTAGTCCTCACCTACGGCTCGAACGGACAAGTATTTGCAACGTCTGCAATAAGAGGTATCCGCTTCCTGCAGATCCTGCGCATGCTGCACGTGGACCGACAAGGCGGTACATGGCGTCTCCTCGGCTCGGTCGTCTTCATCCATCGACAGGTGAGCACCGCCTTCACATTTATAGAATTCTAACAACCTAACATCTATTAACTCCCGTGGTCGCCGCCTCCACAGTCGTAAACATTTTACTATCACCTCTATAATCCAAAGTGTTTTTTTTTATTCTATTCTATTCGCCGCCGCTCCACTTCGTTGCCATTGCACGAAACTGAAATCAGTTTATCGATTGTAACGCGCGCAAATGTCAAACAAACAACATAACAACACTGAATGTTTTTTCAATACAATACGTGGACATGGCGATTGGAAATGGGAAAAGCGGGCGGTTGTAATTGAAGGGGACGGGTGGATATTCGAAGGTTACATTAATCATTATAATCGATGCGCACGATTTATTGCTTCACGCATCTGATTTTATGTTGACCGTAAAATATAAAATAAAAACGTTGTGGAGGGTGAGGATAAAAACCTGTCGGAAAATTGGGCACAGTTTATGAACTACTAGCTAATTTCTTTCTTGCTTCTTGGGCTTAATCCATTTTAGCACCATATGGGTTTGATTTATATAACAGTAACTATGATTAAATCTCCATATCTAGTGTCATCTTTTATTTTACACCCTTAAAGTTATATTTTTGCGACAAAAAGTTGCCTATTTGCTTTTCCTTGGTCAAAAGTATTTCTATATCGAAATAAATCAAAATTGGTTGAGTGGTTTTTGCGTGAAAGCATCACAAACATACAAACAAACACACATTTGTATTTATAATATTAGTTAGGATCAGAGAGTTGGCAAAACATGTGTGATACAAATCTAGCGATTAAAATTATTCCGGCTTATTGAAAGCCTATTTTGAGTTTTGGTTGAGCAATTTGACTAATAGATTATAAAACAATTAATATTTATAAATAAACAAAACAAACCATGTTAATATTGATGAATTTAATTTAATATTAGCATTATTCAATTAAATTTAATATTTAATTCAAAAATTCCTCATATTTTCAATAAGCTACACTTGATTTGTAACCTAACCTAATTTAACCTAAAAATATTTATAAAACATTTCATATTTTTGTGAAAAATTAATTTTAATTGAGCCCACCAATAGAAAATTGCCCTCATGTTGTTATATTTTCGACAAAACATTTTCACTGCAAATTTGCCCAACGCGAATTCGATCATCGGGTTTGATGGAGCGTCGCAATCAAAATATAAACTCGGCCCAAAATATTCGACACAAATTTGATGCGCGCGCGTGATGGCGCTGACACAATCGATGAGCGATGTTTAGTTAATCAGTTAACAACGCACACTCGAAAACCACCTCTCGCGAAGTACCCGCCGTCAATATTGAAATAGCAATTCCATCATTTCGGCGCTAACCACATCAAAGGAATGCGAATTTTCTCCGCGTGACGTCAACTTCCGCTATCGATCATTTATTACACCGATAATTCACTTTCAGGAGCTGATAACGACGCTGTACATCGGCTTCCTCGGGCTGATCTTCAGCAGCTACTTTGTGTACCTCGCCGAGAAAGACGCTGTCGTCGCCGACGGCAAGAACAACTTCTCGTCGTACGCCGACGCCCTCTGGTGGGGGGTTATTACAGTCACGACGATTGGTTATGGCGACACAGTGCCGCGCACGTGGATGGGCAAGATTGTCGCGTCATGTTTCAGCGTTTTTGCCATTTCGTTCTTTGCTCTTCCAGCTGTAAGTCAAAATATTTAAAAAATGTTTAAAGACTAATTTATTTAAAAATTGCGCAGGGCATACTCGGTTCGGGTTTTGCACTAAAGGTGCAACAGAAGCAGCGCCAGAAGCACTTCAACCGTCAGATTCCAGCGGCGGCCATGCTTATCCAAAGCCTCTGGCGGTGCTACGCCGCCGACAAGAGTTTCAATTCGACGGCCACCTGGCAGTTGTACCTGAAGGACACGAACGCCAATTGCAACCAGTCCTCAGGGTCCTCCAATTCTCTACCGCTGTCGAAGGTAAAAAGAATTTGCTTTTAAACTGCACCGAATTTATAGCTAGAGCGTGAAACAAGATGGCCGCCAGTGAGCATTAAAAACGCATCCGATTAGTGCATGGGAACTATTCAATTTAGTGAATTTATGCGCCAATTAGTTTTATTGATCAACCAATTTCAATCTGAATATTAATATTAATATGAATATAGAATTCAAATAGCAGCACATATTAGTTTGGCACAGATTTGTACAGAATTGCATTTTCATAGCATTCGCACGTGTTTATTTTATTTTATTTTCAAATTTTTTGATTCATATATCCAATGTGTCAATATGAATATTTTCATACAAAATTATTATAAATTGTGTCTTGACGTGCATGATATTCGATGGTAACTAATTTTAGATTGTGCGATTATCACACAAGCAGTGATATCAATGTCGAATTTCGAAAACAAATGAAACCGATGCGGATCGCACCGGAAAGCTGGGCTTAAGTGATTGAATATCGAAAATGCATCGTGATGCACGATTTTCATTTGTTTTCCAATATCAAAATGCTATGAAATGTCGTTTCGTTTGAGTGCCATTCTGTTATGAAATACATAACCTAATTTATTTCCTTTTCGAAATGGTGCTGGAATGAAACAAAATTAATGTCTAGTTGATGCGTTAGGCTAGTTTCTATATAGAAAGCGATGTTTGGTGTCTTGGTGTTAAGTCAACCATGGGTTGGGTCAGTCCCTCATATTGCAGGTGGCGAAGAAGGCCTCGGTGCTAAAGCGGCGGAAATCGCGGAATCGCATGGAGGCGCCCGGTACGCCGCAAGGCGACCAACCGCCGCCGCCGAGTGCGGCGGCATCGCTCACCGGCGGCAGGTCCATCGATCAGGACAACGATGTGGTATTCTACATGGAGGAACCGAAAGCTGGTAAGTAATTTCAGCCGAATGTAATTTTTTTTTCTTTTTGTATTTTATTTGTGTTGAGTTTTGAACTACATATTGATATTTTCGTCTCACCTGTTTTGAATTTCACGCGTTCGGTTACCGGGAGAGTACGTATTTCGCGATTCGGGTTTCAGTCGTGCGCACAATTTGGGGATTTTGCTCCGCCCTGAAGAAGCTCGCCCGACACTAATCCAATACCCATTCAATTTTGTATATTTGCACAACGGCGGGCAGGTCGCGTCCTTCTTCGGCGAGTGCTTTGTTCGCGTCATTCTTGTCTCTTTTCAGTCGCGACTCGGATTTCCTTTTTATATCTTTTTACATTTTTTTCCTATTCCCATTTTTTTATTCACTACTCCTCGAACTTGAGTTCAACTTTGTGCTACCGCATTTTTTCCCTTGTAGAAAACAGAGCCAACCACTTAACTTTCATAGAAAAACCCTATTTTTTGACATTAAATTTATTTAATTCAGTTTTATTCTAAAGATATAAATTAATTATATGTTGGTTATAAAGTTGTTATGTTATTAAATTTTTTAACAAATAAAAATGAAGTGCGGTCCTGCGTAAACCACTTGGATCGACCATTATCCCGATTTTTTCCTTTCCTTTCGACGACTGAATTGAGAATCGAATTTACGTGCGCGGTGAAAATCCGAGAAATGTACGAAATACGGTGCTACTGCGCTACTATTCAATAAAAAAAGCTAAGAAAAAGGACTAAATCCGGTGCGTGGCTTGGATTTAAATCATCGTGTCGACATGGATGCCCAGTTTTCCTATGAGCGCAACTTATTTCTGGAATTTATTGCCTTTTCACCGCAAAATATGAATTTTTAACAACTCCAACAAACAATACTGAAAAAACCGTAACATGTTTTTTGTAAAATACATATTTTGCTTTTTTTTGTCTTCGAATTGAATTTTCATTTTATGTAAATATGAAACAATTGTGTGTTTATAGGAACACCAAATCGAGTCCGAAGAGGTGATAGAGAAAGCGTACGTGGTGCAATCTTCACATCGCAGACAAGCACCGTAACGGAAGCGCCAAGCGACGAAATTGATGACATGGACAGTGAATTACCACGCGTTACCCAGTGCGTAACACTCACCACCCTCGCGCTACCTACTGCAATCTAAATATTTACCTTGTCTGTCGCAGATTAACGGAAGCACACAAGAATGCGATACGCGCGATCCGGAAAATCAAGTACTTTGTCGCGCGGCGGAAATTCCAACAGGCACGTAAACCCTACGACGTGCGCGATGTTATCGAACAGTACAGTCAGGGGCATCTCAATATGATGGTTCGCATAAAGGTAATAGATAATAATTTGTTTGTATGTTTGTTACGCTTTCATGGGAAAAGCACTTAACAAATTTTGATAAATTTTGGAATCGAGACTTCCTGATTATTTAAAAGGGTGTTTAAATATTTTTCCAGGAGTTACAAAGGAGATTGGATCAGACCCTGGGAAAGCCAGGTAGTTACCTCGCTGGAATCGACAGGGTTGGTAATGTCAAGCCGATGACGGTCGGAGCACGATTGTATCGCGTCGAGCAACAGGTTAAATATTATTTATCGAGGCATAATTCACTCTTAACTAAACTGTTTTTGATGACCCATTGCAGTTGAGTACAATGGACAAAAAGATGGACTCGTTGATATACGTGGTGAATGCACTGGCACAAAAACAGCAGGTGAACCTGCGCAGCGTGGAGGACGACGTGTGAGAGAGACCCGAGGGCGGAATCCCGACGATAACTACACGATATTATCATTAATATTCCAACGGCGCCGAACAATTACTCACAATTTCTTAGCGCCCGGCGAAAATCCAATTAGGAAAGCAAACAAAACGGTGCATCCCGATCAGAATCCAAAACACATTATTTACCTAATTATCAGAGAAGATTACCTATTTATCAGATTATCAAATGATTATTGGTCTGTATTTGCAGACTTTAACGTAATTTATTAACGTGTAGCTTTGTCACGAATCAAGCAAATGAGAAGTATGTGAACTTACGAGCATTACGTTTAGACTCGATTTATATAATGATAGATGATATTAGGATAAGCAAACAGAAAACGGCACAATGAGCCTTCTCTTTCTTCGAACCGGCGGCTCGAACGCAGTCTCATCGTCTTTGTGTTTTGAAACACACTAATGGAATGCGCAGACGAATTAATTAATTTATTTATTACGACGAAAACAAACAATTGGGGACAAAAACACAACGTGATGGAGAATAAACGCTCTAAACAGCATCAATTAATCAGACGAATCTGGTTGGGCAGGCGTAACACTTTGCTTTGTTTTGTCAAACGAAAGGTTCAATTAGAATCGACAATGAAAACTCAAAAAAAGAAGCAATAATCGTTTGTTTTCGGTGTTGAATTAAATGTCGGCGGTATCTCGAGCTGTCTTATTCATTCCTTCATATTTTATCACATATATCGAAGCTACAGTTGAAGTTTTCAAATGTTTAAATAATTTCTCATCGAAATAACATCACTAGGATAGAATACTAACATGAATAACAATCGGGCACATCTCTTTTTGTATATACAAGTAATTATTATCAACCTAAATGAAGTCTAGTGTTAATTACCTAGGTACCTTTTAGGATAGGTTAGTGTAGGTGATAGATAGGGTTAGCACACGAGAAACGCGTAGTTTTCGCGCCTTGAAGATGAACATTTTTCGATTTGTCGAGACCACTAGTTCGTGCCTATCGATTTCTTTTTAAATTCTAAATTTACACGACACGACGACGTCGAGATGAACCCGTACCAAGTAAAACCTAAACTTAACTCTTAAAAAACGATATTCAAGTAAAAATTGTTACGAACTCTTGAGCGAAAAACGAATTTTTCAAATGTTGACTACGATTTATTGCATATTGTACATAACGTGACGAATCATTCCTTTTTGCTTATTGATTAGTTACTCGTAATTATACTCGTTAAGTTTCTGAGTTTACTTTTTTAAACTGTGAATATTTTCAAAGATTTATTCTGAAAATGAAGTGATTGAGTTCAGTTCATGTTTGATAAATATGTACGTGTAATTTATTTAAAATAATTTATAAGACGGAGTGCCTCTTATCTGTGATCTTTACCTGTTTCTTAAATCTTAACAAACTAACAAAGAAAACATAACGAAATGATCATCAATTAAACCGCCATGAAGTTGCGGACATTTTGAAAAGGAAAACATTTTCAATCTTTGGTTTTGAATATCAAAAGCTAATAAATATTATAATCCTGAATATATTCACTTAAAAACTGTCCAAATTTGATGGGAATACTGATTGGAACTAATGGAATTTATACCTGGACCAAGAACACAAGAAATCTTTAAATTGGAATTACAATAAATGAGAAATTTAACTTTGAATAAATGCAGATTGCAGATTTTAACATTTTTAGACGACAAAGGAACCAACATGTTTGATGACATATTAAATACCTTAGAGATTATACGATTTGAAACATATCTAGATGATTTTTGCTTGAATGAGATTCAACGTGTTTAAAGTTTATCCAATTGGCGACCAAATGTTTTACAACAAACTTAATCAACATATTACATAATATCCCTCTTCTACGCCGAATTGTATAAGTTTAAATGTATATTTAAATACTTCAGCTTACTCAGACTCTATTCAAACATTGATTTTACAGTGAAAATCTTTACGAACCTGATTACAAAGGGATTATAAGTGTAAATTGAAAGAAACAAAACTATTTGCATTCTCAATCATATACCGTAGTGGCCTATAATACCCATTTTACATACACCGATGTATCGATTCATCTAAGTTGCAAAATATTACTAGTTCTCTTCGTCTGTATATGATGATCTCTTGCGTTTCGCTGATTTGGAATAAATTTGGAAACTGCACACAATACACATTTTGTACAAATGTAAATACAGTTAAAGAATGCATAATAATCTAAGACATGTTTTATCAAATGAAATGAAACGCAATAATTGATATTGATTTTTGAATTAATTTTTATAAAATTCGCATCTAGCGCCAGTCGGTGTACTAAACGTCCAGATTTATTTCAAATCTCTTTAGATATTGATGAATCATCTTAATATAATCAACTAACAAAGCGTAATGCGAACGTGTATGCAGTTTGAATATTTTCTGTCGCATTCCACGCGATTTGCAAACATTGCATGCTGGCTTTATATCAAATTTTTGTCACATTTTAATGCGTATTCAGAGTTCAATGTTGACATCAACCATGATGACATTTCGAATGCTTTGTGAATATAAATAAAATCGAAAGATTTCAGTTTGACAAAGAGAAACATACGAAAATTATATTAATAAAAATCTTTATGAAAAACCTATCAAATTAAGCAAATAAGAATGAAATTTAATAATTTTCGCATGGAAAATGAAAAAAATCTATAAAGAAAGAGAGAGTGTAATAATTATTTAAAACTCGCTGTAAGAAATGACTTAATATTACAATTATTATTAGATCTGAGTGAGTCTTTATTGTACACTATTGTAAATATTTGTATCAATTACTTATATTATACATAAACATATATTATAATTATATTTCTCGATTGTTAAGTCATTTTTAGTTTATTTAAGTTATTTTTTTAATTTATCTGAAAGGAACTTCAATGTTAAACTAAAATAACTCATATTCTAGTCAAACAGTTCAAACTCGTGAGATTGTACAAAACAAAAAATGTAGTAAACATTGTTATCACTTGTTCTCAAACATGTTAAGTTGCTGTGATCCACGGCGCATGGCTGCATTGTAAAGTTACCGCTGAACGTGTTAGCATCATCTAACCTGGAAGTTTTACGCGTTGCAATTAATTGTGATCGTTTTATTTTATCGTGTGTGATTAACGTGATAGAACTCTAATTGTTGTTTTATTCAGAACTGTGCAATGACTGGTCGCAAATTCCAACGATGACTACGCCAACGCTTTGAAGAATTGCCAACATGTAAGGTAAGATTAATCTTAAGTTACTTAGATTCATTTACTTATCTGTGATAGGAGTGTGCGAGCGACATTTCCTATTCACTCGCGACATTTTTATATGATATCAGTACATTGGAAGTGATTTGGAATTGTCGTTTGATACGTGGGTTTGATACAACATGAATTTCAACATTTGATAATAGGGTAATAGTATATTAATGTCTTTCATAGTTTGAAAATTGTTACAATATGCAGATTTAAACACAAAATTTGTAAAACGTTTCTACAAAAAACAAGAATGAAAATATACTCTTTTCATAACAAAATCTATGTACAATCCGATAGATTTTTTTTTAAATTTCATATTGGTCATTAAATTTTGGTCGTTTAGAATTTTTATTATTTATATTAGTGTAGTTTTAATCAAATGCAATTTGTGAATTGTAACGCTAACATTTAACAACGTTTTAAATACAGGTCAATAAATTAAGTAATATTAATCTTAAAATCGATTAATAGTCGAGTCTTGTGGTTCTTGTTTAACTAAATAATAATTGTTGTGCTAATAACAACAACAATTACAAAGCTTCGAGTGTTTTCAAAGACTAGAAGAAGAACGTTTTGCACTTGAACTAGAAATTCACATCATTCATTCACGAACCATCGTCAAACAATGACATTTTGTTCTTTGGCTTGCTTTTACACAAAATGGCGGCGTTAAAATGGCACATAAATCCGAAAATCCGCTTAGGCAGCCATTTGTCACAATGGCGGACTAGTATTTTCCGCCATCCTCGGGCTGGATAAATTTGACACACTCTCATGATCACCAATTAAAGACAAATCATCATTTTGATCGATTTCTTGCGGTAATCTCTCATTATTTAATTCTGGTGGTACCGGTACGCCATCTGGATTTTCTCCTACATTGCCAGGCAGGTAATCCTTCCAGCTTCGGAATAAATATCGCGTGAACTTCCTCAACTGTCTGAATTTACAGTAAGTTGCACCTTCGGCCGATTCCAACTGCTGCGTTTGAATCAAGAATCCTTTCTCTTTGAACGTTTGTTCAAGTTTCTCCCGCTGTATAGATTTCCTACTCTTGCGCTTTTTATTCCGCGCATCAGAACTAGATGGCGATACAGTCGGATGCAAGGGAGGTAAATCCGGTTTAATTTCCGGTGTGAGCATAAATTCATTCACTTTCGCAGGAAAGTCAACGGGAGATGAAGGATAAATTCTTTCACCGCTCGCCTGTAGAAACGCGCCTGTGCTAGACCCTTGCGAGTTGTGCACTTGCTGTTGGAGTGTCTCCCTTGGGAAGAACTCATATCCTCGCATGCTTTTATCACCGGTACCGGAATAGTATCGAAAATTACCTCCGGAATCAACCGACAACATTTTCTTCTCTTGTAAACTGGGTTTCGCACCTCCGGTAAACTTGAACTTACAAATTGACACTTCCGTTGCGGGATTACTCTGGTTCTCAGTGGGTATAGGCGGGATAAAGATGGCGCTGCGTTTCCGTTTTGCTGGGGATTTATCATAACTACAAGCGGCACTTCCTCGTTTCGAGTCTTTTGAACTTTCATCTTCGGAAGTTTCACTTTTAGTGGAAGACGCTTTCGATTTCGGTGTTTTAGACTTTTTAGGTACTTCCGGGTAAGAAGATGATGCTACACCATCTTCTGTCAAACCCGTCATTTTTGATAGTATAACAATTGTTGTTGCAATGCTAATGGATGAATAAATACACCAGCGTTCGGCCAGTAGACATACCCGCCTGGTGGTGCGCCATTTTCAGTTGCGGGCAAAATGGCCGTACTTCCGGTTGGCAACAACTCAGATAAATTTCCAGGAAATTTAAATTCTGAAGTTGTGGAAGTTGCTGATGCAGGGGAGGGTGTTTCATGAACAAATTCCACTTCATCATCACTATCGGGACGTTCTTCTTTGATTTCCACTTTTGGTGGAGGCGATTGAGCAGTTTTTGACACTCCCGCCACTTCTCGATTGACACTACCTTGAGCACTATTGTTTTTATTGTTTAACTGTTTGTTTATGCCGCCCAGGCGTATTTTTAAATGATCCAAATCACGAATACACAAATTCAGCGGTTCCGCCGTTCCATGTGAAGGTTTCAACTTTTTATTCACTGTCAACGAAGTACCTCCTTGTGCCTGACGTTTGGATTCCTGCGTGAGGCGTTTCTCGAGTAGACTACTGATAATTCTATTTTGTACATCGCTGCGTTGCAAACTGTCATCATTCGCAAACACGTTGTGATTAACATTGGCATTCTTTCCACTTTTTTCTGAATGTTTTTCAGTTAAACTCTTCGGATTAGGCGTACCCGGAAATATCGTTCCGTAGTTTTTATAAATCAAATGGCATATATCCGCCTTTTTCGGTTTACGACCCCTGCGCGGTTTGGAGTTATCCAAGGTCATTTCACCCATATACGGTAAATCCTGATATTTCACTACGCGCGTTGATTGTTGAACGGTTTGCATACTTTGCGCATGCGCGGGGTGGAAGTGAGGTTGTGTTTGGACCAATGGCGGAACTTGCGGTGAACGCCCTCTGGGTAAAGACACTTGAGTTTGCATCTCACCGACAGGTGGGGCACACGCGTTGAATGCGGTTGCTTCCGTTTGTAGTTTCTTTTGAATCTCGTTCTGCATGTGCGTGATGCGTTGGAACCACGCGCGAAGTGTCTCGTTGTTTTCCAGCGTCGCATCACTTTCCACCACTGGCGTTGACTCGTGCTTAACATCGTCTTCAATATCCGAAGACGTGAAAGATTCCGGAATCATTTTAATTACAGGTCTGTAAATTTAAATTTAGAACAATTTTGTGATTATTTGTGGTTGGAATTTAAATATTCACCTTTTTCGCTCGTTGTCCTGGTTCTGATTCTGACTGGCTAGTAATATGTCGTGCTCGCCATTTATTTCGTCTACTTCTGACTGCATTGTAACTTATTCTGCAACAAATCCCAGGCGACATTGTAATTAATGATCAACTCCTACAATTTGTAACGAAAACAGTGCAAAAACCGATTTAATTTATTTCGTCGTATAATACTTGGATAAATATTCAAATGTCAAGATCGATATCAATCGGAATAAAAAATCAGCCAAAATCATAAACAACAGGATTATTCAATTATGTTTCTATCAAATAATGCGCGTTTGTGGTGATTTTTAGCATAAAAATCACACGATCACGACCGAACCGATTGAATAATTTTCATCTTTATGGTTTTGCGAGTTGTAGGTGGGCATTATTTATGTCAGCATTGAATAATTTATGGCATTCAAGCGCGTTCAATCATTTTTTGCTTGCGGGCACTGCGTTTCATTCATTTTTCTCGGCGCGTGTTGGAGGCTTTCGTCATTCATAAAATGTTAAATCAAACACTTTCAAACCACGCAAATAAAAATAAAATAAAAACACAAATAGCAAAAAAAATACTGATTAAAATACTGACTTACTTAATAATGTATTGGCCTGTTTTAATTTGGTTAATTTATTAATTAATTCACCGATTAGAATAAGACGCTGATCAATCTTGGACACCTGCATGCTGCACTCAATCAAATATTTATCAACTTTTTTTTTAGTTTAGTTTAATTTATTTAAAAATGCACGAATTAAGCGTTCGGGAATGTCAATATGTCTTGTATTTTTATAAGATTACGTCTTGTTTTGATTTTAATGGATTTATTGAGTTTCGATGGTGTTTTTGTGATTTTTTGATAATTGCAACGTGGTCGCGACGCACTACGTCCGACGTCCAACTCGGCGTTGCGACGTAGCGTAAATCGTAAACTTCGACGCTTTACATGTGCATGTTTCACATTTTTGCTGGGTTGATGGTGTGCGTGCGGCGTTCGTTATTCGAAGAGCGCGCGCGGCGTCGCAGCTTGTCCGTAGATGGTGCGCGGCGTCGGAAATAGCCGTCGCGACGCCCTCTCCACTTACCGCCGCGGCATACCCATAACTTTGTACAACTACACTGAATGTTGCTTTCAAATAAATTAAAATATTTATAAACCATTGTAAAAACAAATAATTTAATATTTTTGCATTTTTTGTCATTTTTACCATCACTATGATACTTATTCATATTGTGATGCACTTTATTGATGATATTATTAGATTGGTTATTCATGTGACATCCCGTAGATGTTCCTGTAACGCGACGAGCCAGCAGGAAGGTGGAATATGCTCTTTTAGGCGCTACTCGCGCTACGCGCGTAACTCGAGTCGCTAGTGCCGAATAAGGCATTGGGTGTTTTGTGTTTTAGTTCAAATTCTATTATTAACCCGCGGCCGCGGACGGCGGCGAGATGTGCGGCGTACGCGCGCGCTCCGAAGTGTTCATGATTTGAGATTTCCGCCGCCGAAATTGCGCCGCGTGCGCCTTGCGGAAAATAGGAAAACGCGTGATTCATTCGACAATGTTTATAAATATAACGTGCGATTGCATTCGTTGCACCTAGTCCTAGTTTTTCATTTAAGTATATTTCTTTCCTGTGTGTACTTATTTATTTTTATTTTTAAACTACACACAAACAAGTTTTATTTATTTTTATTTTTTATTCAGACAATAAATTAAACGTTATAAAATGATTTAATAATTATGTAGTTGTGATACAGTCGCTTGTCTTGTATTTCTTCTACATCGCATTATTAACGCCTCCGCATTGGCAGCAAACAGATGTTTATTGCATTTTATTGCATTTCATTGCACTTTATTGCCACTCTGTTGCTATTACCATTAAGCGTGCGGCACTGTAATTAATTGTCGTTCATTGTGCACATTGTTCGGTAGTCCTCAAACGCACACGCATGAAAATATTGACGGATTGTGCATTCTGCGTGTACTATTTACCAATATAAGTTATGCAACCAACATTTCTTCTATACAGCCATTTTGATAGAAATATTACATTTCAACTCAACCGATTAGTACAATCATGCATATTTCCTGTTTTGTTTGGTTGTTTATAACGCGTTGTAATAAATTCATATTTTCAAGGTGAGAAAATGTAGGCAAATTGTTGTTATGGAAATTAAACATTTTGCAATGTTTAGGAATTCCATTGTTTGAATAAAACCAAATTTGGTTTCTATTAGATAACTTTAACACTTAACTTTTTCAACTTTTTTAGAAAGTTTTATTTTTTGGATGACATTTATTCCGATGACTAAAATAGTGATTTACATTTAATTTTGGGAATATTTTTTGTCGCAGCATCTTTTAATTAAGGAAATGACTAATCATTACTCACCGTCGTCGTTTCTGTAAGCCAACACTCATAATCCATCGTAACATTCGTAACCACTGACATTTCCACCTCAGTTTAGCACAAGTTTTCTCAGCGTTTACAAGTTTTCACACTGTAATTAAATTTTCTGTCACATATCACCACAACATGAGCACTTTTAATTCAAAATTAGTTTATATGATTCAGTTTGAGTGTTGATTCTGTGAAAAGACGATGGCACGCTCCGCGCGTCCAGATTCTCTTGCGGGTCTCATTTCACTGCATTAATCAGCCGATCGGACGTATAAACGCGCTGAGCGAAACCGCGCCGAGAGAATAGCGCGTGGGCATTCATTCAGGGCGGGCAATAACGGACTCTCGCATGCGAGATATTCTCTCTCGCGGCGTTTCCATACACGCACATACACATAACACATTTGAAACTTATTCAGCGAGCGATGCAAACGAATGTGTGTGATTTGCACGACACGACACTCAACAACGCGAGAACACATCGAGGCAGACGTCCATGCGACGTTTCTTCGGCTCTAACTACTCCTGAGTTGTCCATTTGCATACGGCAGACGCAATTACCATCTCTTTCGTATAAGTTATTAACAAATTCCTTTCGGATTGATACAAAGAAGCAACTAAGTTATACAATCAATGTTGGTTTATATGATGGTAGTGCAAAGCAGGCTACGCATGCGTAAAGAGGCTAGAACTTCAACTTGACACAAATGGGCGGAGCGTAGATGCAAATAAATTAGAAATAGACAACGAATTTTTATTTATTCTCAAAAATTTTCACAAATTCACAATTAGCTATCTTTTGGCTCGTCCTTTGGTTTTCGACACAACTGCATAAGAAACTTTTTAATTGCAAGCAGTAAAAAGATCAGCGTTAGTATATGATACAGCAGCCTGTAGAATAAGTTCGTAGCTTTTATTCGAGCCAAGTTGATTATATCATCAATTGGGTCATGAACACCCAAAGTATCCTTTAGAGCCACTTTTGAGGTTCTATCATGAACACCAATCATTTGAAAGAAATAGTAATCACTTATCTAAAAATTACAAAATTATATAAGTAATGTGTATTTTTAATTCAAAATTACATACGTGTTTTTTATAAGCTTGCGACCATATAATCATCAGGATAATATCCACAACAATAACCAAACCGGAGATGGCAATAAACGGTACGGAAAATATAGCTCCGATACAACAAGGAATATTTGCGCATAATCCAACTAAAAATATTTTGGAAAAATTTATGATTTTACGGAAATATTTAATTAAAAAATTACTTAAAAATATTATGCATGCACATGCTAAGGCGGCATCAAGGATTATCCAGATGTAAGATACACATAGTAAGTCAAAATTATCCGAAACCATCACTGCGTTATCCACTACAGTGTTATTAATCTTGGAGCAATTTAATTCTGGAAAAATGTATGTTATTTATGTTTGAAAATCAAATATTTTTGGTAATACTTTGAAAAATGATTAAATTATCATGCTTGATTGTAGAAGATGCTTCACAGTGTATATAGGGTGCAATATAAATGATTAAAAATACCATATGAACAACAGCCACAGACTAAACAATAAATTTATAGTATTAAATTAGTTAGGTGGTACATAAAATTAAAAAATTATTAATTACCATTTGTATTAAGCCATAAATGAATGGTTTGCTCATTAATCCCTTGAAGCATATTTGACAAATACAACACATTATAAATTCTTTAAATTCTTCAGTATAAATTTGTGTAAATGATTAAATAATGACGTTGATTGACATACTGACATTATTTACTCTTAATTTTTTTGTTTTGTTTTTTTGAATGAGTTGACAATTTATTGTTCTGTCGGATGCATTGTTTGCTTTTCTTCAATTTCGGGCCATTTCATGAAATATCGGTTTACAGCGAAACAAGTGCAGCAAAATGTCCAGATGTGATACAAAAGTCGAAAGAATATGTTCACTGTTTTTATGTCTGTTACGGTAACAATTCCATTGGCAACGTCTTCATCTTTCATGATGTGCTTTAGAATTGCAACCGATACTCGGTCTCTGATGCCGACAATTTGATGAAAATATAATTTGCTAAACTAAATAATATAGTATATAAAATTTATAATCCATAAACTTACATAAAGGTGTATATTGTTGTGACTTACGTGATTTTTATATGCAACCAACCAAATGATCAAGAAAAAGATATCCACTATTATTGTTACGTCACATACGACAATAAATGGTATTGAAAATATATTAGGAGCGCAAAATTTCATTTTGAACAATACTCCATCTAAAAATGAATACATTAAAACATATTTTCCAGCATTTTAATATTAATTTTTAAAATTATAATTATATTAATCATATCTTTGTTTTCTAATACGTAATTTTTAATTTACACTTTTTAATTTTTCTTATATTTGCAATTTCGAAATATTGTGTTTTTATATAACTTACATAAAAGTAAAATGCTTGCAATAATCATACAAGCATCAAGTAGTAACCATGCGTAAGCAACACGTAGCAAGTCAAATTTTTTCGAGAAAATCACAGCGTTGTCCACAATAGTCTCATTAAAACCAGAACATTGTAATTCTAAAAATTATTCGAAAATTAATATATTATAGCAATTATTATTAAAATTATACTTTCATAAAGAATCAGCTCATTTTGTCTAAATACTGTCGAGGATTCGCAATGAATATATGGACTAATGAATATAGCCAGGATTATTAGGTGGAGTGCAGCACAAATCTAAAATTACACAATTAAAACCATCAATTACAATTAGCATATAGATATATTATATTTTACCAGATTAATTGATCCATATACTGACGGTTTGCTTAAAACACACACCAAAAAGGCAGTTATTATTAGCACACAAACATTAGTCATTTTGAAATTTTAATTTTAAAATCACTTTCTTCAAATAACCATAATATTAATTCACATTTGGGCACCTTTGAAGTTGATTGACAGTGAAATTATGACATTTATCGTTTTTTGCGTTCCTTGAATAAATGATGCTGGTTTTTGTCTTTCAAAATTGACTTTCCAGGCATAATATTCACCGATTCAGCCTCAGTCCTGATTATAATCGGTTTTATTGAATGTCTTCCAACAACACAGAAATGTTTAACCCAGTACAGACAGACGCATAGATAACAAAAGAAATATATCACATCACAGGTCAACTTCAAGGAGAGCAGTCCTATTTTCATCTCGGTAACTGATATGAATTTCATTTTGTGTCTTTCGGATATTCTTTGGATTGTTTCATAATCGATTCGGAACCATAATTGAGTGAAATATAAACTTGTCTGAATTTTTATTAGATATTTTTAATTATTCATTTAATATATTAAATATAGCTTACATGATCTTGGTATCTTATAATCCAGTTATAAAACATGTAAATATCAGTTAAAAACATGCAAAAGACGGATGCTATCCATGGAAATATAAAACAAGTTCCCACGCAGCAATTGGCACGAATATAAGAACTAACTATAATAGACAGAAAAGTATTTAATTTTTTTCTGTATTTAGTAAGTATTTTTTAAATTTTCTTACACATGAGAAAAGTTGATGATAGGGCAGTAGATGCACTAATTACCAACCAAACTAACATTGCCTGCATGTAGTCGTTTAGGTTCATATAGATGTTATGGAAAAATAAGGCATTGTCGCATAAATCTTCGGTTGTGTTGTGGTAATCAAAAGTTTCTAAGCCTTTGCATTTGTATACTGATTATAAAAGTTTAGGAAATATATTAAATATATTAATTAGTGTGAAATATATTTATGAGTAATAAAACTTACAACTGTACTTAATTTCCGCTTTTGTTTCATAAGTAGTGACATTGAAACAGGTCGAATGATGAATTATATGCGATATGATTGATATTGAGAAAGATGTAGACATAATCTAAGAAAGTTTAATACATATACAACAATTTATTTGATTCTTTTTGTTCAAAAACAGTAAATTTAGATTTAAACTTACAAAAGTAATCAAGCCTGAGATGAAAACAGATGGAAAATTACACAAAACGGGTGATCTTCTAACTTTTGGTGGTTTGATCATTTTTATTTACACAAAAAACTGACAATGTGCAATGACAATGTCACTAAACACATAACAAAATTATACACGCTGAAATATAATAAAATAATATTATCGGTGCATAATATCTTAATATTTAATCTAACTTACGCTTTGAGCAAAACTTTGAGTACTTGCCCGTGTCTTGAACCTTGGCTTTGCTTTCGGCAAAGATTTACCATGATAATACAAAACCGTAACAAGGCAAGCCAAACTAATGCAGTGGCAAATACTGCGATGTGATAACATCCCTAGTTTATTACGTCCAATATTATGCAGAATTTCAATTCCGTGTCTTTCTTTAATTACCGCTTCTGTTTGCAAATCATGCCCGCCGAAGAATTGTCCGTAATACGTGTTGCTTCTCTAAAAGAATAAAAGCTTGTATAAAAATTGTAAAATAATTTTTAGAATATTTTACATGATCACTGTAAATGTAGAGCCAATTTATTAAAATGTACCAATCCATCATAATCACCACAACGATAATGATAACCCATGGGAGAATCATACAAAATTCCAGGATAGATTTTTGTCTCACGAATATGCTGACTAAAACAATAATTATAGTTTAAAATATGAAATTTAAAAAAATATGTTGTTATAAACTCACAAAGAAGTAAACCCGATGCAAACATCAATATATTATTTAATATTAGCCACCAGATCATTGAGTACATGAAATTGTTGTAATTTTGGTCAACAATATCGCGCCGTGGCATGAAAATTGCATTATCCAGATAATAAGAACTTTGGTTTTCTTCATTACGGTATTCAAGAACTAATATTTCAAGAAATGTTAATAAATAATTATAATATTAACAATGAAAATATATATTACTTACTGCTATAGTACAATTGATCTTTATGGTAAAAATTTGTTACGTTTTGACATTTTCTATGCAATGCAATGGCAGAAGATGCCTGCAAAATATTTATAATTTCCAGAACCTGGGAATAGTATATTTATTAATATAATTATATTGCTAGTGATATTATCTAGACACATACCACATGGAAAAGACCCGCGTAGAATACAGGATTTACTAAGCAATGTTCTAACTGCAATAGTTTACTCATTTTTAGGTATTTTTGGTTTGATTTGAAATATAGAATAAATTATGTGACAGTAACAATTGTCAAAATGATAGAAAAACAGTTTTTGTTACTTTTATTTCCGGAATTACGTTGGCTTAGTACGGAATGAAACGCTCTTAAGTTATGTGAATTATTTAATTATTTATAATGACAAATATCAAAATTATAACAAACATTTTTCATTAATTATCGCGTATTTTTGTATCAGAATTTATAATTGTGCTTACATTCAGTGACAATCGGAAGTCTTCAGAATTTATCTGTTCGGACATGCCACGACTGTTTTCTTCTTGATTCGCCGCTGGTTCAGACGAATACGTCGCTGACGTTCGCAGAATTCCCTTTTTGATTAGATTCTTAATAGTACTATTAGTTATTCCTTGATTGTCTTGTGCGCTTTCATTTTTATCCGCGTCTTCATCACTTGCTTCGTCATCCAGAGTAAAATCCAAAGTGTTTTTCTTGTGTCGATGCGGTGCCTGTGCAAGATTGTAAAAGAATTCCAAAACTGATTCATCCACGGTTGATGATTCCAACTCATCGATGAGATGTTCAACGTTCTCATCGGACGGAATCAGACACGGATTTACTTCGGGACTCTCTCGGTTCCAAATCAAAATACAGTCGTGTATTGCATATATTATTGCAATAATAATCATGGGTGTTATAAGACAGTACTGTCCACATACGAAAAATGATATTATTTCCGGGATGAGATCAATTGCATCATCGTCTATGTAGTTTGTTATCGGTTTGTTCATTAGTATTCGGGATGCGTTTGGTAAGGAAAATAACGGCTAAAATTTGAAAGACTTTAATATTTGATTTTGATTACTTCCGAAAAACTATTTATTACAACACTTGGAGGTAGTTTTTGAGATTTTTTGATCACTCGTTAAAAAGGTATTAATTTTATTTAAAAACTACTCAGCTTTTTATTTAAAAAAAAGATCCACATTAAACTTTCAATTTAAAAAAAAGGTGGGGGTTGCTTATAGAATTATAGATACTACTAGCGGGCCCAACAGACTTGCCCATTTTATTCAATCGCGAATATCTCGTAAACTAAAAGAGATAAATAAGATCTGATCGCAGCGTTTTAATCTACGGACTATTCTCTATAAGATAGGATAGTTAAAACGGAAATCTGAGAGATGAAATTTTCATTCTTAAGAAAAAATTGCCAAGGGGGGGGTGCTTGATACTTTTTTTCGACGATTTTTGATAATTAATATCTCTTAAACTAAAAGAGATAGCAACCCACGAATTGCTGATTATGAAAGATTGGCAAATTCTCTATCACATAGAAATATAAAATAATTAGATTTCCAACAGTAAAAGGTCGAAAAACGCGACTAAAAGTGCTAAAAAGTGACATTTTTCAATTTTTGCCCATTTTATTCAATCGCGAATATCTCGTAAACTAAAAGAGATAATTAAGATCTGATCGCAGCGTCTTAATCTACGGACTATTCTCTATAAGATAAGATAGTTAAAACGGAAATCTGAGAGATGAAATTTTCATTCTTAAGAAAAAATTGCCAAGGGGGGGTGCTTGATACTTTTTTTCGACGATTTTCGATAATTAATATCTCTTAAACTAAAAGCGATAGCAACCAACGAATTGCTGATTATGAAAGATTGGAAAATTCTCTATCAGATAAAAATATAAAATAATTATATTTCCTACAGTAAAGGTCGAAAAACGCGACTAAAAGTGCTAAAAAGTGACATTTTTCAATTTTTGCCCATTTTTTTCAATCGCGAATATCTCGTAAACTAAAAGAGATAATTAAGATCTGATCGCAGCGTCTTAATCTACGGACTATTCTCTATAAGATAAGATAGTTAAAACGGAAATCTGAGAGATGAAATTTTCATTCTTAAGAAAAAATTGCCAAGGGGGGGTGCTTGATACTTTTTTTCGACGATTTTTGATAATTAATATCTCTTAAACTAAAAGAGATAGCAACCAACGAATTGCTGATTATGAAAGATTGGAAAATTCTCTATCAGATAAAAATATAAAATAATTATATTTCCTACAGTAAAAGGTCGAAAAACGCGACTAAAAGTGCTAAAAAGTGACATTTTTCAATTTTTGCCCATTTTATTCAATCGCGAATATCTCGTAAACTAAAAGAGATAATTAAGATCTGATCGCAGCGTCTTAATCTACGGACTATTCTCTATAAGATAAGATAGTTAAAACGGAAATCTGAGAGATGAAATTTTCATTCTTAAGAAAAAATTGCCAAGGGGGGGTGCTTGATACTTTTTTTCGACGATTTTTGATAAATAATATCTCTTAAACTAAAAGAGATAGCAACCAACGAATTGCTGATTATGAAAGATTGGAAAATTCTCTATCAGATAAAAATATAAAATAATTATATTTCCTACAGTAAAAGGTCGAAAAACGCGACTAAAAGTGCTAAAAAGTGACATTTTTCAATTTTTGCCCATTTTATTCAATCGCGAATATCTCGTAAACTAAAAGAGATAATTAAGATCTGATCGCAGCGTCTTAATCTACGGACTATTCTCTATAAGATAGGATAGTTAAAACGGAAATCTGAGAGATGAAATTTTCATTCTTAAGAAAAAATTGCCAAGGGGGGGTGCTTGATACTTTTTTTCGACGATTTTTGATAATTAATATCTCTTAAACTAAAAGAGATAGCAACCAACGAATTGCTGATTATGAAAGATTGGAAAATTCTCTATCAGATAAAAATATAAAATAATTATATTTCCTACAGTAAAAGGTCGAAAAACGCGACTAAAAGTGCTAAAAAGTGACATTTTTCAATTTTTGCCCATTTTATTCAATCGCGAATATCTCGTAAACTAAAAGAGATAATTAAGATCTGATCGCAGCGTCTTAATCTACGGACTATTCTCTATAAGATAAGATAGTTAAAACGGAAATCTGAGAGATGAAATTTTCATTCTTAAGAAAAAATTGCCAAGGGGGGGTGCTTGATACTTTTTTTCGACGATTTTGATAATTAATATCTCTTAAACTAAAAGCGATAGCAACCAACGAATTGCTGATTATGAAAGATTGGAAAATTCTCTATCAGATAAAAATATAAAATAATTATATTTCCTACAGTAAAAGGTCGAAAAACGCGACTAAAAGTGCTAAAAAGTGACATTTTTCAATTTTTGCCCATTTTATTCAATCGCGAATATCTCGTAAACTAAAAGAGATAATTAAGATCTGATCGCAGCGTCTTAATCTACGGACTATTCTCTATAAGATAAGATAGTTAAAACGGAAATCTGAGAGATGAAATTTTCATTCTTAAGAAAAAATTGCCAAGGGGGGGTGCTTGATACTTTTTTTCGACGATTTTTGATAATTAATATCTCTTAAACTAAAAGAGATAGCAACCCACGAATTGCTGATTATGAAAGATTGGAAAATTCTCTATCAGATAAAAATATAAAATAATTATATTTCCTACAGTAAAAGGTCAAAAAACGCGACTAAAAGTGCTAAAAAGTGACATTTTTCAATTTTTGCCCATTTTTTTCAATCGCTAATATCTCGTAAACTAAAAGAGATAATTAAGATCTGATCGCAGCGTCTTAATCTACGGACTATTCTCTATAAGATAAGATAGTTAAAACGGAAATCTGAGAGATGAAATTTTCATTCTTAAGAAAAAATTTGCCAAGGGGGGGTGCTTGATACTTTTTTTCGACGATTTTTGATAATTAATATCTCTTAAACTAAAAGAGATAGCAACCCACGAATTGCTGATTATGAAAGATTGGAAAATTCTCTATCAGATAAAAATATAAAATAATTATATTTCCTACAGTAAAAGGTCGAAAAACGCGACTAAAAGTGCTAAAAAGTGACATTTTTAAATTTTTGCCCATTTTTTTCAATCGCTAATATCTCGTAAACTAAAAGAGATAATTAAGATCTGATCGCAGCGTCTTAATCTACGGACTATTCTCTATAAGATAAGATAGTTAAAACGGAAATCTGAGAGATGAAATTTTCATTCTTAAGAAAAAATTGCCAAGGGGGGGTGCTTGATACTTTTTTTCGACGATTTTTGATAATTAATATCTCTTAAACTAAAAGAGATAGCAACCTACGAATTGCTGATTATCAAAGACTAGAAAATTCTCTATCAGATAAAAATATAAAATAATTATATTTCCTACAGTAAAAGGTCAAAAAACGCGACTAAAAGTGCTAAAAAGTGACATTTTTAAATTTTTGCCCATTTTATTCAATCGCGAATATCTTGTAAACTATAAGAGATAAATTGGATCTGATTGCAGCGTCTTAATCTACGAACTATTCTCTATAAGATAGGATAGTTAAAACGGAAATCTGAATGATGAAATTTTAATTCTTAAGAAAAAATTGTCAAGTTGATGTGATGTTGATAATTTTTTTCGACGGTTTTTGATAGCGAATACCTTATAAACTAAAAGAGATAGCATCCAGAAAATTAGATTATGGAAGATCGGAAAATTTTCTATTAAAATAGTAAAAAGTCTAAAAACACGACTGAAAGTGCTTAAATTTGAAATTTTTCAAATTTTTACGATTTTCACTTCAATAATATTTGTGTTCCTTCTTAATTTCAAAGTGAGCTTTTGATGAATTTATAGCATTTTTTAAAGGATTATATGCAAAATTTCAGCAATTTTTTTTATTCAAAACTAGAATAATCAAAATAATGTCAAAATTTACTCCGAACCACTTTTAATGGGTACTTAAAACTATCTATTTTGGCATTCAATTTCTTTCATAAAAAATAAATATTTACGATTTTAGTAGTTGTAAACTTAGCCATAGATGGCAGCATAAGACAATTCGTAAACCCACACACTGCAGTTACAATTATCCATGGAATTATTACAAACTTCGCTGAGCTTCGGCCAATATATTTACTGCAGGTGCTGATTGCTAAGTAAAAAATGATTAAAATTAATAATAAAAGGTCCACTATTATTCTTATATATAATTTCGTACCAAGTAAAGGAACACTAACAGGTAACCATAGCAAACTGGTAGTCAACCACATACAGTAGATAAATATAGGCAATTCTACAGCTGATAACAAATCCCAGTAATCTCTTTCCTTGTGTTTTAACTGTTCATCGTCCAGAGTCTCATTTGGTGAAAAGTACCGGTAGAAAACGGTCATCTTCTCGTATACGTTCGGAAACAATCCATAGTAGTCGCCACATAATAGCAATATATTTAATTGATTAGCGGACTGAAGCTAATAAGCAAATAATAATATTATTATGTGTTTTCTTTGTTCTTTTAAGTAATTGAAACACTTACTATTGAAAAAACCGAAATACCCATTAATCGAGTGCCCAAATAACGTGAGGAAAGCATTTTGCGAATATTATTTTAACCTCAAACAATTATACATATGTTTAACATTTGACAAGTATTGGAAACTAAAATTCTAGTGATCAGGTGCCAAATAAATCAATGTCTATTTTGATTTAAAAATCAAATCAGCTGATCGGTTTTTATCAGATTTTTTTGTCAAATAAAAAAATGTATACATTTTGGGTAAAACAAAACTGTTTTTTTAGCAGCACTGGACTTTGAAACTCATTCTTAACGCGATAGAAAACTAGCGTCCGCTTTACCACCTTACAACCCTTATTTTAAAAATAGCCTATTTGTCTTTCCACCGTCAAAAATATCTCAATACCAAAATTAATCAAAATTAATGCAATGGTTTTTGTGTGAAAGCATCACAAACATACACATTTTTATTCTTATTTAGCATCATTTATTGTTTAATTAATCTGGAACAACATAAATGAGTTCTTGTACACCTTTAACTTTATTTAAAGTTTGATTATGCTCCTTGATAAACCAACAAGCCAGGATTACCAGTATTGGAAGTCCAAAAATGTGTCTGCACGAGACGACTAAGAGTCTCAAAGGCATATAAGTGAGCGTCTTGTACAGCTCCGAACCATACACTGAATTCTGATCTAAAAGCTTGAGCCTCAAACGGAGTATTTCATAGTATCTTGTTCTGGGTACCCAAAGAGCGCAAGAGGACGGCTTCTGACAGGTAATAAACACGTACAAAAACCACATTACGTTAATCACATCTTGGGTAAAAACAATAAACGTCATTATTATCCAAGGTAGTACTATGTAATTATAATAGGATACTGTTATAATACTTTCACCTAAAATGAAAACAACGACATTAAATTGCGTTAATTTAAATAGTATGTTGAGTATCAGGTGGCTAAAGAGGAATTTTAGTCACGGGATTGATTAAGAGGGAGGGTTTAATCAATTGAGTGTTTAACAATGTTTAGCAATGTTGTTTTGTATTTGAACTTTTTTTTTAAATCTTCGAAATTCACTCTCACATTACTGGGGAATTTAAGGTTATAAAGTACTTTAGCCATGACTTTGGCCGCCCGTGTTTAAAATTCCACTTTTTGCGTCTCAAAAACCGCTTTAAAGGTGGCAGTTGAAAAAAGTTGTTTAGATTGCGTTTACTTACAAAAAAGTAATAAACTCGATAGTATGTACAGAATATTCAAAATCACCCACCATAATTCAATGCAGTTCAAATATTGCGCTATTCCCGATGTTTTTGGTTTGAAACGACTTAGAACTTGAAATAAGTCGAGTATATGTGGATGAGCATCTTGCAAATCTATGGGATTGCCAATATGGAAAATTGTCGCATTCATATTTTTACATGCCGGCGCTGCAATAAAAAAATTTATAAAAACAGATAAAAACCCAAATGATATACAATTTAACTCACAATAACGAAATTGGTAATGTGCGAGCGTATCACTCGGTGAAGTGCCAACATGTTTACATTTTAAATTCAACTCAAGCGGAAGTGAAAAGTAAAATATGAGTTGATAGATGGCTTCGATTAGTGTAATACAACAAGCTAATTTTATCAACCATTTTCTTTTGATTGTGTTCATTATTTCAACTGATTTCAACAGTAAAATAATTATTTTGACGTTTTATGACTTTGATGACAAAACAAAAGTCTCTAGTAGATATTAGTCGGCCATGAAAATCTCGAAATTATTATTTATTTAATTGCTAGTACTGCGTACGCAGTAAATACGGCACTTACGACTCGACTTACGCTCTCGACATGTTTTTTCCTTTTGTTGGTCGAAAGTGACCGCGACGTTAGCACGTGGGTGGACCTGTAGACGCGACTAGAACGCAAGATTCAAGACTTGAAGAGGCAAAACACAAGAGTTTAACGAGTTTTAAGAGTGCTTAATAATTGTACGATTAATATTTTTTAACAATCATATTGTTAAAATTAAGATTTTAAAACAAATAAATCATTTTCCACATTTGGTATGTTGAACATCAGCTGGCAACTAATTTTCGACTAATAAACTGAACAAATTACATCATTCCGACATACATTTTTGGCGAAATCTTCCGTAGGATGTTATGATTTATGACCGAATACAATTTGTGTAACTGCGTCGCTAGTTTACATGCAAATTGTTGTGCAAAATATTCTAAAGTGAGATTTCTTGTATTTCTGCGCGATAAAATAAAAGCGGCAAAAGTTGACGCTGCATACGGCGGTCTGCTATTTATTTAATCATTTCGTGTTTGGCGCGAAACACCGAGGGCGGATAAGGTGTACGAATGGCACGAACACGGGGGCGGGTGGTTTCTGTCCATATTTAGCGCAGCGCCGCTCGCCGCACGTATCGCTGATCGTTGGAAGGTCATTTCAATCCGGCTATATACGAAGCGGAGCGTGTGTTTGCAGATTGCAGTAAAATACGTTAATTCGCCTCGTAAAATCCGCCGAGAATGTGAAATTCTATTTTACATTCAATTTAGCCAATACGCATATAAAACAATTGACTATTCTACCCAAATAAGGTTATGTTTTGTTGAGTTAGGTTAGGTTAGGTTACGTATATTTAGTGCATCGAAATTTTAAAACTATTATTGCCACATTGTATCGATCATTAGACGAGTTAAAGTTGGAAATTTTCGTGTCGCTAAACGCGAAACGAATTGGGCCTACATAATATTACTTTATACAGCTAGAAGTGCGGTCGTGGGTCGGAATTATGGCACTACTACTCAATCACGCCGGCAATGGCGACGGCGACGAAAATCGTTAAACTAAACGACAAAACGCTAATACTAAAATCAAAGTTTATTCGTAAACCCAGGTATCTGAAATGACTCAAAACATTACATAAAGGCAATAACAATAACAACGAAATCATCTATGCGTTCGTAAAGTTAGTATTGCTAAATTGGGTTTCTTTTGTCTATTTTCATTTTTAAAATGGTTTTAAATCGATTTTATTTTCTAAACGTATTCGTATTGCGTCGACACTTTTCGACACTTTAGTTTTATTTGTAAGGTGCGGTCATTTACATTTTATTTGCTTTATAAACTTTCATAAACTTTTCGAAATGAATTGTACTGATTTAAGCATTAAAAGAAAACTAGAAGTAGTTTATTAAGTTCAGCGGAACCATTAATCACTGTTTCTTGATTGCAATATATCTTAGAGACACACGTGCGTAATAATTTCGAAAATCCACTCATAAATTACTCTTAAAATCGCGGATACATTAAAATGTTTCAAGAATTAGCGCGTAATTGACGCGTAAAATTGGTTGCCTAGATGATTTTGGTACGAATATTGGTTATACCAAATGTAGAAAACAATTCATATCGAAATTATCAATTCGCTTAATTCGCTGGTGGAAACAATAAACAATGAAATTGTTTTCCACATTTTCCCATTTCGTTAGAGTCCACAATGGGTCAAAATCACTTAAAACTTTGGTGTATTTATTAATCACTTATGCATTCATGCAGAAATTCTGTTATCTTATACCTTATATCTCAACCTGCGAATACCTGCGACGGCGATTTCATTGACCTCGGCGTACGCCCACAATAAATAAATTATAAACAACTCTCGAGTATGTAGCCGCATGCCGAGCATCGAACATGTAAGTAATCTCATGTAATGTAAACGAATTGTAAGTATTGCGAGGTAAATATAAGTTAATGCGCTTACTATGGGCGCATTTCAAAAGGCACAAATTGTTACAACGCGCGCTGACGTTGACACAATACAGGAATGTTCTCGCAGCCTCTTTCGCGGCCGTTGTAACCTGTTGTAATTAGGCGTGTCGCCATTATGGAACAATATGCAAATATTAATTACACGTTGCGCACGGTGAACGACTATGTTCGACTATCGAACCTAATTCGATGTTTAATTTTCTATTTTGTATCCGTGTTTATAATTATCTTTTGTCTGTAATTATGTTTTAGTTATGTTGGAATTGATGTTTACATGCTAACAAGATCTTAGAAATTTGTTTTTTGTGTATTGATGATTGAATCATTGTTGAATTTAATCATTGATTAATTTTATTAATATTTGTTTACGGTTTAGTTTTTTTTTTCCTTTTAGTTGGTCACCGGTCTACCGTTACACTTATTAAAATATGATAAATACAACCCACTCGATTGTGCCATAAACGCGGAATTTAGATTTTATTCAAAACTAATAATCGATTTTTCGATTTGGATTCCAAATATATTACATTTACGAAATGGCTGCTGGATTTTATGGCTAACAATCGATAAGTGCTTACATATTCAAGATATAAGCGATATCTAAATATTTATTTAATGTGATGAAATATAAACAAATCTATCTGGATACTATAAGAATATAATTTATTGGTTTAAAAACGGTTGAATAGATTTTGGTGAAATGTTTAGGTAATATTCAAATTAATTTAAAGGGTGATTCTAGGAAATAACTTGAAGGGTGTAAAATAAGGAATGAAAGTTTGAATGCAGATAAAATATTTGTAATTCAAAACTTTGTTAAAAAATATAAAAATCTCAAGCTTTTTAATATAAATTATTTATAAAAGATTCAGGCAAGATGCGGTTATGTCTACTTAACCAGTTTTTGCAATTTATGCTTCTTTTCAATGAAAGAAAAAAATGAATGATATTCTTTTGTGTGCAACTTCATTTAAGTTTTACTATACTTGTAGTGTGTCTGAGTTCATATCTTACTTCTGGATCACAACGCGTATGTTTTACTGCGTATCGTTAACAATTCCAAGCGATGAACAAATTTGCTGGCAATTGAATTACATGCGCAATTAAATACGCACGTTTGTTCCCGTCGCTTTTATTGCCTTATGTGCGACTGTAAAAGAGTTAGTTTCATTCAGCATGATGCAATATGTTTATTATGGAAAATTATAATGAATGAGGTGCGGACGGACACAAAGATGTCATTGGATGATAACCTAAATACAAAAGGAAATTTTTGTGTTTGGATAAAGAAAGCGTAGGTTTGAATTAAAATTTTTATAAAATATTTATTATTTAATAAAAATATTTATTAAAAATTAGATTTATCAAAAATTTTATTAATCTTTAATTATAAAGACAGCATATTTTATTCTGCAGACATGTTTAAAAATATTTTTTATTTCTTATTTATTTCACTGTAACACGAACATAAAATACGTATAAAATTTTATAATTGCATTCTGGCAAGCGTAATAAAAACGAGATTATTAATTTATTCTCTACTTTTTTGAAAATACAAAACTACAATTTATATTTTGTTGACATCCTGATTCAAGTAATATAATATTATAATTAGTTGTGTTTTGTGAAAGAGTCTCAAATGTTGATTTTATCGTTTGCCAAACCTTTGATATAAAAAAGTCCAAAAGAAACAAAAGTTTTCGATGGAGACGCCATTAATGTCAAAGACTTGTAACAAATTCTAAATTCTTTTCTTTGAAAAAATAAACTGTTTTATATTATTTTCTTTTTACGAAATAAGAAACTTAGACACTATGTTATAAGTAGTAAATGGTGCCAAACTGATTGATTCTTAACACAAAAGAGCTAAATATATCTGTAGCATATTTTAATATAGGTACTCCACAGACAAAATGTCGATAATAAATATTTCACGCCTGTCGCCTCAGAAAAATTAAACGCCCACGAGTGTGAAACTGCCATTTAACCGTTTTAATTTACAAAATTTCAGCCATAAAGAATCTTCCTCTCCCCATTCAACAATCCCGAGTTAAAAGTAGTTGGTACATACACAGTCGGCGACAGTGTAATTTACGCTCGACGTGCACATTTAAGCGCGCTTAAAGTTTAAGTGCTCGCGCGTTTAACGCTTAATACGGCGAATAAACCGCCTCAATTTCCATTATACGGGTTGCAATGAAGCGCAATTAAGATATGACGAACTAATGTACGGCCACGAATACACGGCGAAACTGATGTTCTGGTCTCTGGCTGCAATTTAAAACTTAAGAAAATTGCCCACCACTAGCATCGCAAGCGAGTTTAAATGGATCGCAACAGCAACATAATAAATGTAACTGTTTGCATGAATAATCGGCAGAGATTACGCATTGATTTGACATCAGATAGATAGATACTCGGGAGCGCAGGCAGCGATTCGCTTCAACTGCACTTAATTAACTTCGGACTGCTCTGGAAGTTTTGCATGCGTCGAAGATTTAAGCGGTTCGAAACCCACGCACACTTCGAAGAATGTCTAAGAATGAACGACATTATCTAACAAAGTATTGAGTATTAAATTTTCATATACCAGGTGTTCCAAATACACCAAAACAATAAAATTAAACTAATTTTTGCAACGTTTTTTGTATTTTTTTGAATTTTTAACAGAAAATTTTATTAAATGAGTGAATTAAAGTAATATATGTTTTATTTATAACTTCATTAGACACTGTATAGGTGTTGTCGAATCATTCGGACGTTTCATAAACCGGTCGCCGTGAAATTGCAATATTTTAATACTCCTCGCGGTTTGGCGTCGCGCGCGTCGGGATTTTTTCCATCGCTCGCATTGCCGTATAAGCGCTTAGCTGTGTGGGCAAACTATTTTATCTTTCAGGTGTTTTCCAATAGCGTGAATAATAATGAGGCGCGCGCGATTGTAAATATACTGCATGTATGGGCAACGGCTGCATAAATTACTTATTAATATTTATGTATTTATTAACTCGCCGATCGTCGCTTCGGATACACTTCTTTGTCGCGATCGCTAAGAGAATGTAAAGCGGCGATTTATGCAGCGTTCTTTTTTGTGTCGAACTGGCGAACGCGCTTCATAAACTCTTGTAAACGTTTCGCAATTACAACTTAATTAACTTGCGCTGCGAAAACGAGGTGTTAATAAAATCACAAAATTGCTTTTTAATTGATCTAATAAATTAATTAATTAAGTTTTAATTTACATTGATTATTTTTTAGTTTGGAATGTTTGTATAAAATCGACAATGGTGATGGAATTTGATGCGTGGATTATTATTTATTTAATTTTATAGCAAAATTTTAATAAATTTTACAAAAATTCATTTGATTTTAGTTTAATTTGTTGAGAAATTTAATTTATAAAGAATTTTTGATGCAATTCTTCAATAAATTCAAGTTTCTTATGTAGATTAAGCACATTTAGCTTAAGTCACTTCACTGCAGGCAACCAAATCTACATAAATAAATTTCTGTTGCAATTTTAATCGTTTTTAAGCTGAATTTCTCACAAATGCAAATAACTTGTCCGCACGCCCTTAAAAAAATCACTTTGAATATGAATTCGTATTTGCAACGGCTCACTAGGACTCGATGGCTCTCAGAACAGCAAAAAAATGTAACGACCTGACGACACATTCGCGACATTCCTCGGATGTAACTAGTGGCAACATTCGGACACAAACGCGTCGCCGCTTAGTGTCGTCCTCTCAGTGTCTTTCAGTGTCGCAGCGCTCATCGCGGACTCGTTTAGCTCTTTGTGCGCGTCGCAAATTTATCTCGTATATCATAATATCCTTTCATCGGTCTGACCACTGCGCCGTGAGGCACGGAAAGAGTGTGAATGCCGCCATTGTTGATGCGTAAATACCATGCATGTGAGAGCTGCACCGAGCGAAATTTACATTTGAATGCTGTGAATGGAAAAATGTCGTTCGGCACTTCGGCGACATCGACGCGACACCAAACACTAGCGCAAATTAACGTTTGAACATGCGTTGAAAAAATAAGCTAAATTTAAGCCACGCACTGAGTGTTTACAAAAGAAGTATAATTATGTTGATTTTAAAGTTAAATCATATAAATGTAACAGAATTTCGTTAAATTTTATCGAAATTTATAAGAATTACTTGAAATTTTTGGAATTTTTGGATTAAATATTTATTATTCTAGTTTGCAACATTTTGTATGCTCAAATAAAGCGCTTAATGCGTTTGAAATGCCCTTATTCAAATATTCCAAACAAGAAATGTCACTTTTAATCCAAAGCTCAAACTTAAACTAATCTCATACCTTGATATCCCCGGAGAGAAATCTGTATGCCTGGTATTTAATCGGATCTTGACGATTTTAAATTTCCCGCTGTTTTAAACGAACGTTCTCCCTTTCTGTGACCTCGATCTTTACCTGCCCAGGTGCCCAGCTTTCGGTAAAGCTCGTGCGGCGCACGAAGCGAGATAAACACGAGTGTCGATGCGTAAACAAAACCGGGCGGCCGGATTGGTCGCAATTCGAATGCTTTCTTCAAGGCGCGCTTCTTCTAACCGTCGTCGATTTAAATCGCGCCCTTTGGGAGGCCAAGCAACAGCTGTCCCGTGCATCCGTGCGACAACCGCTCGTTCGGTAGTCGTTACGCTCCCTTCGCTTGGGCTTCCACTAGCCCGCTCAAGCAAAGCGAGGCCTTTTTCATTTTTAGAATTATTTTTCGTTTCGTTCACGTTTTATTCAAGTTTTCATTTTGTTTCGGAGGTTTTATATTCGTTTTATTAATTTATATTAGTGCATTAAGAGTAAGAGTAAGAGATTTTAAGATTGCGTAATTGCGGAGAAAGTGAAAATGTCGTTTTCACGTGCTAAGATTACGCGCTTCAATGAAGCAGTTTGTAAGTGTGAAATTTTTTGTTTTGCGTGTGTACCGAGTGATTTCAATGCATGGTTTTTGTTCCAGCGGTTACACCGTCGCCGGCTGATTACAACGTGAAACTGGAGCAAAACGCCAAGGGGGCGGTTATTTCTCGTAGTGATCGCTTTGTAGATGGCAAGAGTCCGCATTCTGATTGTGGAAGTTCAGTTAATTCTGTTCACACCGTTCACAGCACGCCGTGTTTCCGCACTGTAAGTGTAAACATTGACATTGCATGTATCAGCATTAATAATATTTGTTAAAAGATTATTTTCTATTCATTTTATTAAATTAAATATTTTATTACATAATATTTTCATTATTTTGTATTTATTTTATCTGTTTGTTTGTTTAGCCTACATTACCAAAAAAGAAGAAAACCATCTTTACACTCTCGGGGCGCAAGACCAAACCAACCGACCTTTTCTCCAAAAATAAGAAAAAATCAAGCGATGTTGTTGAAGACGAAGAGCTGGATCTGGAAGCGCTCAAAGACAAAATTGTCGAATGTCACAACAAAGATATTTTCATCAAAGATCTCACGGAACAAATCGAAGAGATGAAAGAAGAACTGAATGATCTTGAGCGACAAAAGGAAAAATTAACTCGTGAGCGGTGCAAGTTTTCGGAAACATGTGATGAATTGCGCGAAGAACACAGGATTATGATGCAAAAAGCGTTTTTGGAATATGATACTGAAACCAATGATTTAAAGCTAAGGATTCGTCAACTGGAAGCTGAACTTCTGCATGAACAAGAAACTCTTAAACAAATCCGTGCCGATGATGAACACTCCAAAGAAATCACACAAAACCTGATTGACAGTTACAAAAATTCATTGGATGAACAAAATAGAAATCACCAGCAGACCATCGAAGAGAAAGAACGAATCATTATTGATTTACAAAAGAGTCTATCAGTTTTACAAGATAAATTAGACACAATTCAAAAGGATCATGACACTAAAATTTTGAGTATGCAGAAAAAACATAAAGATGAAATCATGGATTTGGAGTTTACAATGTTAAAGACTGTAACAGAGACACAGAATATGCTCGCCAAAGAAAAAGCAACGTTTGAAAAGAAATTGACTACTCTTACCCAAGAGCACAAGCAGGATAAAGCAAAATTATTGGAAGAAACACATGCCAAAATTAAACAAATTGAAGAAGATGCCAAAGAGGCAAATGTTTTAGCTGAGATTCAAATGCAGGAGCGATGCAAGGATATTGAAGCTACATGGCAGATGACATACGAAAAACAAAGAGATGACTCGGCGGCCATCTTGAAAGAATGTCAAGCAATTGGCGAATACAGCATCCAGCAGTGCGAATGGGAAAAGAACGCAATTAAGGCGGACCTGGCTGCTAAAATCGAAGAATTGAAGCAGTTCGAAAGGGACAATGCTGATTTGCATATTGCTCTGCAGGAAGCTGATATGAAATATCACGACTTGCTTGAGCGGATTGATTCGATCAAAACGTCCAAATCACATGAACTCGAAAAATCTAGAACTGAATTGGCTGAGATGCAACAGCAGAAAAAACTGTATGAGATCTCAATCACAAAAGCACATGAGACTATAGATACACTAAAGAAACGTCTCTTAGATTCTGATCATGATGTTGAACAGTTGAAATCAGAACTGGAGTCCTGCGAATTGTCTAAATTAGAATTTGAAGCCCGCTGTAATCAGCTCAGAGACGAGTTGGAACTTGTCGCTAAACATAGTGAAGCAGCTGAGGAGGAGTATCATGATACCTTGAAGAAAACAGATGACAAAATCGCTGAATTGGAAATCAATCTAATTCGCAAAGTAGAAGAATACAAAGCAGAAGCATTAACACAAATTGACGAACTTATGGAGCACTTACATCAGAAAGAGTGCGATTTGCAGGAAGTCTTTGAGCAGTTACATCATGAGCACAACATTAACAAAGAGGCACACAGTTTGATTGAAAAAGCACAGACGGAGATTGACGCAATTACAACGAGGAATGAACAGTTACAGATTGAACTTAGCAATGTTAAAGAAGGTTTTATCACTGTGCAGGAACAATTGGAAGATGCTGAACTTAAAGTTTCTGGCTTGGAGGTGGATAATGATGATCTTCGTATGAAGTTGGATGAAATGGAAGCAGTTAATCGAGCGTTAGAAGCATACGAAAACAAGAGCGATGAGATTGATAGCTTATTGAAACAACTGCAGCAAATGCAGGAAAAGAGTGATTCGTACTCGCAGTACTGCGATTATTACAAGCACAAGGCAACATTGTGTGAAAAGGAAATTGAAGAGTTGGAAGGTATTAACAAGAAGTACATCGAGCAGAGTGGGAAGTATGATGCTTTGCTACAACAGTTTGAAGCTATGCAGACGTATTGTGCTGAGTTAGAGAAAAAGGTAACACATTTCATTTAAGTTATTTTGTAGTATTTGATATATATTGTAATAACTTTCAGACTGCTGAACAAGATGCTCTTATTGGACCATTCCGATCCCAATTGGAAGCATACGAAGTGGAACGAAATGCACTTGTATCTCAGAAAGCTGCTGCTGAGGATGAAGCTAAGCAAATGGGTTTCAAATACGCGCAACTTCTGGGGCATCAAAATCAGAGGCAAAAAATTAAGCACTTGATGGACCTGAAAGCTAAAAATTACGATTTAATCGAGGTAAGTTACAATTTCTTTAATAATTTCTTTGTTTATTTATTGGTTAATGATTACAGGAGAAGAAAGACTTGGAATGTAAACTGAAATCACATGCAAAGACGATCGAGAAGCTGAATAAGCAGTTGTCAGCAGTCCTCCACTCTCCACGCAAATCGAAAATTCATTCCACCGACAAAGAAAACGTGGCGTCCCCCAACCGGACGTTGAACAATAGCCGGGTGGAAAGCCCTGGGCCGTTGCGGGAAAGAAATTGAAGCATCTAGATAAATTGCAAAAGAAATCTAAAATGCATGTTTTAGTTATTTTATTTTACAAAAACGTTTGAACATTTTGGTATTTATAATTTGAGTTTTTGACTGATTTAACTAATATTTTTATGTTTCGCAGTATGTAGCGCCTTGCGTTTTGTGTCCATTATGTTTCATTACTGACTATTTTAAATAATTTTATTTAAGATTACTGTTTATTTATGTTCTACGCGTAGCATTAGTGCTGTGACGAAATAAGAGGAAAGAAAATGTAGGACTAGAAATTGTCATTGATTCCAACCGGTGAAAATAGTTTGTCATGTTGCTTTACGATTAGCGGAGAATTTTAAAGAATTTAAAGCAATGGCACATGCAGCCACGCTTAGCACATGTAATTTTATTTTATTAATATTATTTGCAAATGTATATCTTATAATTTTATAATAAAACTTTTCTATGACGTCAAATGAGTTGATAATTTGAAATTACCCCATATCTCCTGACCTAATTTATGTATTTACAGATTCTTGACGTCATATTGTATGCCAAGAGGCCCTTAACACTTGGCATACCTTTATTATATCGAAAACCCTCAGGAAGTGCTTTAAAATGTGCATTGAAATTGGTAATTTTTCTAAGAATTTGAAAACGTGGTGTATATCTCGTGAATTTATTTATTAATTTACAGTTTCTAATTCCCAGATAATTTTTTGTAAATAAAGAACCCTTTAAATCCCCTGAACCTCCTGAAACTATTTTAAAACTGATTCAAAATTAATGAATTTGAATCAGTCATAACATGCGCGCGCACTTCTAAAGTCCCTCCTATTGCGCTCATGAAACATGCTGAAAAATATGCGAACACAATTTAAAAACATAATATAAATATACGCCTGTGTCGTCACTGTACTACCTCCTCACACATTCTGCTATCCTAATAATTCAGGAATATTTTACTCGGTTTTCCCTCAAAATTTTGTCTCAAATTTGCCTCAAAATCACTGCGAAAAAGTTTGGAATATTAGGAGAGCAGAATGTGTGAGGAGGTGTTGAAAGTCTTCTTTGCACTGCCATCTAGTGACAGCGTACTGAAGTTCGTTTTATTTCAATAAATGTCGTGTTTCAGGTTTTCACAGATAGATGGCCATAGTAGGATCGTTTTTAAATATTTATTGTGCAAAATAAACAGAAATTAATTTAGAGTATAGGATCGCTGAATATAAAGATGAAGGAAATGTTTTGACGGATTTTTAATTGATTTCAATACATTTTGAGTATGACAGTAAATTTTTAACAAAATTCGCCGTGCTTAAAATACAGAATACATGTTTGAATTGTGAAAACAGTTAAAAGTTATAAACTTAAAGTAAACTTAAAATTTCCGCAAATTCCAAAATACTAATTATTACAAAAACAAGAAATGCAATAAAACTAAATGTCGCTTACAAAATATGCAGAAAAAGTACAAAATACTACATCGGTTCAATAATTATGTCGTTTCCCACCGCAAATTTTCACAAAATCACAAATTAGGGGTTTTTCAGCGGTCATTTTGGGGCACTTCCTTACACAGTGCAAGGGAAATGCTAAGCGCATAGAAAATGACAACTCTTTTACTATTAAATTATAACAATAAACTTAATACTACCCTTATGGTTCACCAGTTATAACCCATTTTCCACCGCGCGTTTTCACAAAATCACAAATTTGTGATTTTTAGCAGCCTTTTTGGGGCACTTTATGACCAAGTACAAGAATAATGTTTGGCGCGTATGAAAAAACAACTCTTTCCCTAAATAATTACAAAAATAAACTTAAAACACGCTTGGGGTTTATGAGTTATAACCCATTTTCCACCGCGTGTTTTTACAAAATCACAATTTGGTGATTTTTCAGCTGCTATTTTGAGGTTCTTCCTGGCGCAGTACAGGAAAAATGCTAAACGTATGTGAGAAAACAACTCTTTCTCTATAAGATTATAAAAATAAATTTAAAACTACCCTTGCGGTTTTTGAGTTATAACCCATTTTCCACTGCGTGTTTTTACAAAATCACAAATTTGTGGTTTTTCGGTGGCCATTTTGGGGCACTTCTGAACGTAGTACAGTTTGACTTTTGTGTGCACAAGAAAGAGCCAGTCTTTCGCTATAAAGTTATAAACAGAAACTTTAAAATACTCATACAATTTACAAGTTTAAGCTAATTTTGAGCTTGTACTTTTACAAAATAACCAATTTTGCCTTGTTAGCGACCATTTTGAAGCAGTTGTACATTCTTTCCCTTCATTGTATACGAATAACAATAATTAAAAAATTATTCCAATCCATTGTGCTCATAATTATACTTTTACATCATTTCTAAAACATTTTCATCCTATTTCAGATATTAATTTACAAGAAATAAACAAATGAAGAATTTAAATTTGACATTTTTTGGAAATAAATTTAATTTCCAATCTATTCTTTAACTTCAAAAGTTATTTTATGTAGTACATATTATTATTAATTCCGAAATGGGATGAAAATGTAAACTTTACTTGTAGTGTTCAACGCTAAATCTTCTACGCAATGGTATTCGTCCTGAGTGGGTCGATGTTTTCTTCGAGATGTCTTCTGCGGTCTGACTTGGTGATGGTTTTGATTGCTAGTTGTTTGGATGTCATCTATCACGAGTGCAGTCTTCACATTGGCGTTCTAATTGTCCTTGAGAGTCAATCCATCCATTCACGAAGTCTTGTACAAAGAAATCGCTATCAGAAAGACTGATTTCACCTAAAATAATAATAAAAGTAAATTAAAACACAGTTTTCTAGAAAAATGCTTTTGTTTTGCTTCTATACCATACCTTAAATAGGATTTGTAACTTCCATAGGAACACCAGCCAATAATCGACAATCGATGTGATGAAATAGACCTTCTCAGCAGTGTCCACCACAGGATTCAAGGATTCAACAGTGGCAGTGATTGAGATAAATCAATAAACCAATCAACCTGCCAGCACGCCGCACTTTATTACAACCACGCACTGTAAACTTGTCGCAGAAAACAAAACAACAAAATGGATGATACGTCGACTTAACTTGAGCAGCAAGTGCGACCAACTGTCAACGGGCACGCGCAGGATGCACACGGTCGCGTGCGCGCAGGACGCACAACTCGCATAGCGTGACATGCGCACACATACCCGCATGTGATTTGTTGTTGGACATCTATAACTGACTTCAAAACAACAGAAAGATAGTTGAAATTCAAATTTTAATTTACAATTAAATAAAATATTATTGTTTTTTATATATTTTATTGTTATATGTTTGAAAGAAGAGGAAAACATATTTTTTTAAAGAAATTTAACCTCGATTGCATTCAGGAGTATACATTTGTGTTTATTTGATGATTAAATAAGTATTTGCAGCAAAACAACACATTTATTAACAAATCTTCTCTTAGTATTTAATACACGTTTGCCGTCGTGAGTCACATTTTATTTTTTATCTTTGAACGTCAGTAATTTTAGCAAGAGCTTTATTATTGTAAATATGAATTGTACAACAAATAATCGTTAACACATCGAAAAAACACACATTGAAACATGCCTCTCAGGTGTTTACACAAACTATTCAACAAAAAACAAAGATTTGCATAATTAATTATACGCTAGAAAGTTTTATTTTATACACGACTTTAATATGCGCTTGTTAAATAAAAAATTGACAAATAAAAACTTTACGAGAATATTTGCGTAAACACCCGAGCGCAAGAACCGACCGGAGAAATTCTCAATTGTTTTACTTGTATGCTCTTACAAATATTAATTTAATTCAGTTTGCTCTCAGACGCTAATTCATTTATTATCCAAGTTTGTATTGTCGAATAGTACTTCATCATTATCGTCATTTTTTTGAATCATTATTTTGTTTGTATTATTATTGTAACATTAAGATTTAGATAGATTTGCTTATTTATTGCCGCTACACTATGAAATGTTGATGATATTTGTTTGAAGAGTCGAAAGAAGGGAAGCAAAACCGCACAGACATCTTTCAGCCCTTCAACAAATGAATCACTTACATAAATTAACAACACATTCATATTAAACACGTGTGGGTGTGTGTATTCGTTGAAACAGTCCATCAACCAATGAAAAGTTAACTTTAGAACTCAAAATAACAACTTTGAAAACGATTAACGATAAGAGTCAACTACTGATTGCTCACGCTTAAAGTGTGACGCAATTTATTGACCAGAGAGAGAAGAGATATATGTTTTCTTTCATTTGCCTTCGTCGAGTTTTGTAATTTATATTCACTTCACTACAAAACTCAATTAATTAAAAAATAAACATAACCAAACAAATTTTCACGGCGGCCATTTTAAGATATATTTTTTTTAAAATGGCCGCTGTGCAATTGTACACTGTGAAAACCTCTATTTTTTGAAATAATGAAGAAATATCTATTAATATGAAATAAAAATCTACTTTTTGAAAGCATAAATGGCAAAAAAGCGTATTTACAAAACGAGTTATGTACAAGTATTTCTTAACTATTAGTTAACTGTTTTGTTTTCGTGTGGATTTTGTTTTTTGTTCATTGTCATAATATTTCACCCACAAATTTATTTTTTTAATTATTTTTTCTCACCGGAACTGAATTTTTCGGTGATATATCATTTTACAATGTTTTTCTCGACTACTCTTTACATATTCACTTACTCCTTATCACTTACAATCTTTTTATATGTTAAAGTCATAATTATTTTATTAAACATTATATTATAATAATTATAATATTTATAGTTTGTTATTCTTCCTGCTGTTGTTTGCTTTGTTATTATCTTGTATTGTTTCTTGGGTAATTTGTCGCCTAACTAAACTTATCCAATGTACATATACATCAATCAATGAATTACAATATTGTTCTTGTTTTGATCGTGTAGCTTAGCCGTAATTACATCAGTTAATTGATAAAATGGCTAGTTATCTAATTAAATGTACATGATATTCGTTTCGTGTGCTAATATTTCTTTATATCTTCATACATGAATGATGGATGCGTGATAGTGATCGCATCTACACATTCCTGCTTTATTTACATATATAATCAATGCAAATTTACGCATTTTTGTTTAGTTAATAATTTGTTTATCTTAGAGTTAATCAAGTCACGTAGTATCGCGACGTAGCGCGACGCAATGACCTGAAACGAAAACGAAAACGTCATCTTATCATCCAATCAGCTTCATGTCTTGGTTTTGATAACGATCCATGCACAACATTAATGCCAATCCGATCAGAAAATTCTATATTTAACATTCTTTTGTTGTTTTTAATCATTGCGTGGTTAGCGAAAGTAATTTTAGTGCATTTGTGCATAACTGTGCAATAAGAGTGACGTGAACAGTGAGAATTTAACATAGAGATTAACGTGACGTCAGATTACATTTTATAACTTAACAATTAATGACGTCACGTGGTAAACAGTGCAGAAAGTGAACATTTTGTGAAATTATTTAAACGAGTGCAGTGAGTGCGTAATTATGTGCCAAAGTGCAATTGTGCATAAAGTGCTTTCAAAAATATACAAAAATTATAATGGAAATAACAATAAATCATTAATTTTTATTTTTTTGATTTTTTTATAAAAATAACACTCATACGTTCTCAATATTCATGTACAGTGTCCCTAATGGAGCCTCCATTTTTTATAACTGATTTTATTTGTTTTATTTTCACTTCTCACACTCAACCATTCCAAAAATCAAAAATAAATGAGATAACAATTAATTTAAATTAATTTGTGATCTTACTACGTAATATTTTCAATAATTTAGATATATTTATAAATATCTTATATGCATTAACGGTATAATTAGTTTTTTATTTAGATATTTATATAGAGTGTTAAAAAACAAACTTTAAAGTCTTTTATTAATTATTATGTAAATTAAAGTTTGTTTTATTTAACACTCGCGTATGTATTTGTTATTTGTTTTAATATTCATAGTATTCGACTATAATTAAAGTTAATTCTAAATTTATTTGGCAAGCGCATTGAACAACTTTTCGCGAAGTGTTCAAGCAAATGCCTTATTATTGTCAGCACAGCCGCTTGAGGGCACGCGTTGGTTATCGACGCGGTCCTCAAAGTTGAAAACAATAAGAAATCTTCAAATAAACCTTTGAAAAAATTACACGAACAGCAAAAATCATTATAACGAAATGATATGATATGATAATACGATAAAAATTAATGAATTATGAATTTAGATAACGCATTAACAAGTATAAACTTTAAAATGAAATCAAAAGTATCACAAAATTATGTAGTGACTAAAGTTATATTATATATGCCTATGCCTAAAGGCCTAAAATTTTTCACTAATTTTTCTATGTTTTTTGTCGCATATTTCAATTCTCCTTGTTTATGTTTGCGGTATAAATCGAAAAATTGACGTCTTTTTATGTATTCGGCAATAAACTAAAATCATATGTCTACATTTCCTACAAATTATTTGTTAACATTTTTATGGCTAATACGTTGATGTTGGATGCCTCACGATGCAAACTAAACGATGGAAGGATGATGCGAACACAGTTTATCATTGTGTATGTGGATGTGTGAATACCTTGTCGTTTTGGTTGTTTGTAACTATCTAAATCTTCTTTGTTGTATTCCGCTTTATTTTCCATTATATTCTTTAATTTATTATTGAAATTGTTTTTAATAATTTCTATCGTTTATTGTGCCGTGTAGGTAGGCATCTTCAGCTGGTGGCTGCACCGGTTCCTGTCGGAAAGGATTATTGAAGGGGTTGGAAACACCGTCGGTTGGTGGCGCCGCCATAAATGGATTTACGCCGCCATGCGGAGGCGGTTGTTGTGGTTGATGTTGCATTTGCTGCGGAGGCGGTGGCAGCGGTGGTTTTTCGTGGGGTTGGTTCACGGCGCCGTAATTTGGCGGGTTTGTGAAGGACGTTTGAACTAATCCATTGCTTTGCACCTAATTAGAAAAAATAAAACATTAAAATGAATATTATTAATTATAAATTTATTTTTTCTGTTTCATACCGATGCAGATTGTTTGATGTGAATATTCTCGTCCATGGGGTTCCACTGTTTCTCTTCATCAGTCTTGGGTTCAGCCCATTCTTGGAGCTCACCGGAAGCGAAGATCGCGTAGAACACAACACCCATAAAGTGAATGCAAGCGCCCAGAATAAAAACGTCCTTCCATGTTTCGGCATTCTGTAAAAGTAAAAAATACAACGTATTTTTTTTAACTTTTAAAACTTACAACTCACTTTCTAACTTTGCAACTATAACTCAAATGCGTATCATAAATTCGCACTAAGTGTACAAGTATAATGCACTCTCCGCGCGACATCCGGCCCGGAGGAAATCAGTATGTGTAATGCGCTTTCGGGCATAAAGGACGTGTTCATTACAGCGGAATTTGTGCGGCCGTGCGGAACGCGACCGAAAAAGAGGGTTGGCTTTCTCGGCGGCGGCAGGGCGGTTTGCCGCCGCCGATGATGTATCGCCGCAACGCGTCGCCGCCCTCGCCGACTTCCAACTTAACGCTTTCGTAATCAGCGAGCGTGCGCCGCACACCAAGATATTAATGTCGAAATTTATCGTTTTGAATGTCTTCGTGGGCGTTCAACTCGCAAATTACAAAAATTTCAACTCGAAACATTTCTAGGTAATAATGTAATTATATTGTTATATTTACCCTTTTTGCATCTGTTAGGTGATGCACCGCCACTGGACAAATACATCCTGCTATCGTCCCGATACCATTGGACATACCCATGAGAATACTCGCATATTTGGGAGCAATGTCCAGGTGATTAACGTTGAAACCCGAAATTGCAAATCCACTGAACGCCACACCAAACGTCAGGGCTGTGATGGCTTGAGTGTAAGACTTGGAAAACGCCACCACTAGGAAGAAAGTCGCCTCCATACCGAACCCACCACAATTGAAAACTTTTCTCACTTGAGTAGTGGTCATAATCTCTTGTTTTCGAAGATAATCCGCCAGGATTCCACCAGATGGCACGATTATCGTCATGAGCAAATGTGGCAACGCTCCCAAAATAGCATTCTACACAAAATAAAACATAAATTTATAGCGAAATTAAATTATTTCTAAAACTTACCTCTTCAATATCAATCCCATAAACATCATTGATATACGTAGCTTGAAACAGCACCAGCAGATAAAAGTTCCATGATCTGCAGAAGTTGGCAATGAAAATGGCCCACACCGGAAGTGAAGTGAAGAACGCGCGCCATGGCGTATTGGCTATCGTCGGCAGCGTCTGATTAGAATTCGCTTGACCCAGCGAGCTCTCGATGTACTTGAGCTCTCGCGCCTCTATCGACGGATGCTTGCTGGGCCGCTCAAAAACCAACCAGATCCACGCCAGGAACCATGTGATTCCTAGACACCCGTAGAAGTAAAATGGCGCTTGCCACCCGATGCGTTTAATCAGCTCTCCGCACAAGGGCATCGCAAACATTACGCCTGCATAGCATCCGCAAAACGCCAGTGTTGCCAAACGTGAACGTTCCAGCGGCGGTGCCCAATACCTCCAAATGCCGTGACACGCTGGATATGTCACACCCTGTAAATTACCAAGGTCTAAATTTTAAGCTACTTTACCAATAAAAGTCAAAATCTTAAATAAAGCGAATCTAATCACATACTGTGTAATAATGAACCCAAAAACGGAGTGTCATGTGTTTGAAGCCATTTTGATGAATTGAAAATTTGAACATAACCTAAATTTGTAACTCTTTGACTTGTATTCGGCGTGTGTGTGACAATAGACTAAAAGCAAATAATCAAACACGTCGTCGTGTGTGTTGTCCGTTACTTGTGCACAATTTACGTGATGTGTGAGAAATATGATCCTGCGGGAAAACAGCTTGATGTAAAGACATTACCTGCTCACGGAGTGACATTTTAGTATTCTAGCTGCTTTGGGTCACAAGTTTATTAGTACGAACATTTACCACTTGAGAACTTTCATAAAAAATTGTAAAATAAATTTTTAAAGATGAAATTTGTGCAGTTTTGTGATATTGGACGTGCAACTAATCAAATATTGAAGTTTTTAATTCATAATAAGTTTTTATCATTTAAAAAGTGCTGAGTGGTGCAAGAAATAAATAAAAAAATTAAATTTCATTGATTATCATTTACTTTTAGGGCAAAATTTTTATTATATTGATTTTATTATTCTGGTGCAGTGCATTCGAACATTTATGGTGCTTTGTTATTAAAAATTATTATCATGCAATTTTTTGTTTTTCATTTTTTTAGATTTCAGGGATGTTTGGTCAAATTGTCTTAATTGATATTGTGCATTGTTGTAGTTCTAAAATGATAATAAATTAATATAAAACGAGTGCACTTTGTGCATTGCTTACTAATCGTGACTTTTGTGCGATTTGTGCTTATTGTGCGCTTTTTTATCAGTGCTTTTGTGCTTTGTATGGGCTTCAGACTACATTCTCATCATACACATTACAAATTAATTTGCAGAATTAATTTTTATAAGTACAGTGAATTAAATTGATATTAATTTGTAAATGTGTATAATTTTGTTTGTGCGTTCATTGAACATGCATTTTGCGGTGTGGATAGACAAAAGAAAACCAAACAAGTTTTGAAGTTGTGGGAAATAAGAGAAAACGAAAGGTGAGAGGAAATGCCCGGTGCATCAATGCGAATCTTACTTCGACCAATCCTTGCAACACCCTGACAATAATAATAGCACCTGGTCCGAGCATCAGGGCGCCCGGCACGAGCAGATTGAGGAAGGACGAGGTACCGATTGCGCCACCAAACAGCCGATTTGCTGGGTATTTCGTCGCTAGGAAGCCGCCCGGCACCTGTGTGATCAGGTAGCCCCAGAAGATTGACGAGTCGACCGATGCCATCGATTCGTTTCGCTAAATTAAATCAAAATTACACAAAAATCAAATCAAAATGAAGAAAACCAACATTTAACACTGTTAATCAAACAACTAACATCAGTGCACTTTGGGTTGCCTATTAACACAATTCAGTTAATCAACAGTGTTGCCATATTTGATTTAACCTCAAAAATTTATGGTTACTATTGAATTTTTATACAAATAGAGTTTAATTCATTTACTTACCTCTTTCTCGAGTTGTAGTTTTGCCATACCCATATTGCATCGCATCCCAAACATAACGATGAACCCCAGGCACGAAAGAAGCGCGACGGTGACGCGTTTCGATAGACATGGCAACTCCGGCCGGATGTACTTGTCGATGTGTCGCAACGGCGGCCGCTCCGGCTCCTCGTTGCTGCCCGGCGTGCTGGCGTCGTCGGCGGCGCCGCCGTCCTGCGACAATCCAAACTCTTCGTACCGCCCGCCGCCCAATCCTCCACCTCCACCTCCATCTCCACCGCTCTTCCTGCAATCCACACCAAACCCCAAAAAATTAGCCTTCGATCACGTTCCGCAACTATCAACTTTTATCATTAATCAAAAACAGGAAAATCGCATTAGCATACACGCGTTCGCCCGGACATCAACCGGAAATCAAAGGAAATTGACTCATAAACATAATATTCCTTTACACACGACGAAAAAGACATATCGTGACGTTTAAACTGTGTTTAATGTTATGTAGAAGATACAAAAGGACAAAAAGTTTCCAGGCCAGTTTCAGTCCATCATTATGATAATAATCGAGCACGGGGGGCGGCGGCTTTTAGTGTTATCTGTCTGTGTCGACGACGCGGCGGTTCGGTGATGTGTTTATGCGTTAATGCCGTTGTAACCGGTTGATGGGCGCATTTGTTATCGGGGCGCCGAGGATGAAAAGCGTGTGTCGCGCCAAAAAGGCGTAAAACGAAGACAAAGCACTCTCCTGCCGGTAGGCGAGGGGTGCGCGCTGAAAGCGTAATCGTCATTAATGCATCACGGAATAAGCACGAACAACTAAAATGACGAAAATTCATTTTACGCAACAAATTACCGCAATTATCTGTTATTTAAATTAAATAATACACTTTGTTATTGAGGAAATAAAAGAAGTAAAACTTGTATTTGGAACATGGAATTGCGTGCGAAAAGAAAGCTTTTTACGAGTGCGCGTATCCAGGACGATTGCGCGCCGGATTAAGGAGCAAAGGAGCCTTCCACGCGTTCGGTCACGTTCCGGGCATCAGGAGCGAAATGCGCCACTTATCATTCGCGATCGTATATACAAGTATTCACACTAAAGCTCAAACCAGGAAAAAAATGCATATTACAATATAACCGCAATAAAATTAACGCAAACACATTTCCTTCAACCTAATTAGATATGAATTTAACGCCTGCCTGCGATGCTGCGTCTTGCGAAATGGACCACTCGAACGATAATTGCATGGAAGATGACAATGGATCGCGCTCGTCAGCGCGGCGGCTGTCTCGGCGACGCGGCGTCTGCGTTTTTCCGCCACCCAGCGCATCCTCAAGACTTAATATCGCCGTCCACTCGACGTCACTTGCCGCTTTCGCTATTCATGGCACGAGAAGCGAGCGCATATTCATTCATAGCTGGGGCGCCACCCCAACGCAGGCAGCGTTTATCGCTCTTGTTCTCTTATTTTCGAATGCGTGTCGCCAACGATACCTTCCACCCCACGTCCTGGATGGATTTTGACAAACAAGCAAAAACGAGATGTTCGAGCAAATATTATATTCGGCAGAAAACATAAAAAGCTAAAATTTGACAAAAATAAAATTTTTCAAAAACATTTTTTGTCGTTTTGAAGTTATTAATATATTTATGAAAAATTTATGTTTGCGAAACACTTTGTATATTTCCCTTGGAGTGAAAACAGCAAACATCAAGCGGCGAAGCAAACGGAGAGTGAAATCAAATATCGAGATCAATATCTTCTTCTTCTGTGCGCAAACTATATTTTTGTCTTCGTTTCCTTCTATTTCTTAATAAATCTTATTTCCGCACAAAAAATAACTCACAATATAACGATTTTTTATTCGTATTGCATTCGATTAATGCAAATAACTAAAACTCAATTCTTTTTATTTTTTGTGTGCATCGTGATGCTGTGAATACGAAATGAGGTGCGTTGAAATTAAGACGACACTCTGTTATACTTTACGCCTCTGTCTTCACGTCCGCCTGCGTGCTATTTTATACGAAAGACGTTTTTTATCCGCGCTTATTTTTCAGCCGGCGCGCAACTTCAGCATTATTAGCGTAATACGATCAGGCTCGTTACGTTCGTATTGGCATTATTGCATTATTTACTGATGTAATCGTAGATATTCGTGAATGTAATGAATACAAATGAGAAACAAGAAAATAAAATTTAGAGAAAAAAATTTGAATGAAATTTTATTGGCATTTTGAGTAAATAAACAAAGAAAATAAATAATAAATGGTGTGAAACTGTGGAAAACCTCAGGAGTCTCACGGGAGACGTTTTCGCCTTGGGTTTTCCGTTTGAAACTTCCAACCTGTTGATTTTCATTTGGACTTTTCTTTCATTTTAGAAGATTCTACTACTTTTGCGCTCATTTCACTTCTACCCTAATTAAACACTATAATAAAATGAATTTACCATTTAAATTTTCCCATTTTAATAGATTTTCACTAGTTTTTCACAATTTTTTAGCGTTTTGAAGTACTACTCTAGAAGTTTGTCGAAAAAACACATTTTACTTCATATTTTCAGCTTTTTAATGATTTACACACGTGAATTCTAGGTTAAACGAATTCTCGAGTTATTATGCCGTGTGATGCTGTGCAGAATAAACCCGGAAGACTGAAAAGCCGGTCCGTCGCCGCCGTCGAGACTGCCGACCGCCGTCGGCTCCCGTTTGGCGCCCGGAATCCCTACTTTATTCAGCTCTCTCTGGTCACGTGACTTTGGCATCATTTCGGTTTTACTCTACTTTTTCCTTCAGGCGCGCCCCGCTTACGGATGTTTGGCCCTTAGTTTCTCGTTCTTCGTCCAGACAATCGACATGTTTCCATAAACATTCTTGGAGATATAAATTAATTACGAGTGTATAACACAGTGATTAATTTTTTAGTTTTTTGTTTAAGTTGTGTATTAATATGAGTTTTGATTTGTTTGAAAGTGTGATGTGGTTGTGATGGTAATTTTTGTGTTATTGTTGATTTTCGGAAAGAGGCTGTGGAATGAGATCATGAATTGGATTGCCTTCGCCGGCGTATCGTCACGCTCGCCCGCTCGGTGTCGTTCGATCCTCGATTGTACGCGCATCGTTTACTCGTTTACGCGCTGGCATTGTCATCCCTCGCCACCCGCGCTGAGGACGGCGAAAAAAACGTGTTCGCAGCTAACAAACTTGTTTACAAATCAACACGGGCTTGCATTTACAAGCGTAATAAATTAGGTTAATTCATTGCAGTTTTTTTTTATGTCTAAGAATTGTAAATAGAAATTGTTTTATTCAATTTTTTATTTTAGTTTATAAAAAAGATATCTTTTGGTTTCAGAAAATCAGCGTGTGGATTTTTTGGTGCATAAAGATTCAATTTGTTAGCGTCGCGTATTCGAGACGCTTTTATTGCGATTGCAACGCATTTTGATTTGCATTCAGAAACTATAAAGGAAGCGGAATAGAAGCAATGGGGGTGGAAAAGGAGGCGGTTGTGCTTTCTTCAGATCAAAATCGAATTGAGATGCGTTTTGTTTCCCCCTTTGATTTTTATCTCCAGTTTTTTTTTATTTCTTTTCACAGACAAAAACAAAAATATTCAACAATTCAAAAACTATCAAATAAAAATAAATCACATCTAAATTTATTTTTATTTTTCTAATTCCATTATTTCAAAAAAATAAGAAAAATCGACACAAAATGTACTTTTTATGTCCCTATTCACAGCACTTTTAACCACTATTACTCTTTGACTCCCTCAGATTGCAAAGCGAAGAAAAAGAGATTGCAGGATGAAGTGGAATAAGAAAGGAAACCTTAAAAGGATCTTTGCCCTGCTTTCAGACCAACGGCAAACATTTCTCTTGCTTTCGGCCGATGGTTTCCGGTCCGCAACGAGACACAACCCCCGTGGATTTTTTCCCTTTGGAAAGCCACGATGTGAAGGTCGTTTTAAGTAAAATAGAAAAGCAAATGATTGTTTCTGTCAATGTCGAGTCGCGACGGCGTCACAGGCGAACGGATAGTGAGGGACCAGGCATAACAGCGGTCACTTTCCAGGCGGTTTCGGAGGGTCGCAAGAAGTTTCACGGAAAGACATCAATCACGTGTTAATGCAGTTGCCACCCTTCAAAGATCAATTTTATTCTGTTTGCTTCGCGTGGAGATTTATTCTTTGGGTGTGTTTTCTAGTAAATGAGGGAAAAAAGTAATAAGTGATGGTTCATTATGATTATAGGACCATCAAAATTATATTTTTAATAAATTATTTCCTATTTTGAATTTGCAACAACTTACGTTTTAAATTTGTGTTTTTTTTCGTCTTTTCTTAATTTCTTTACCTCGTGACTAAAGCCCGTGACTAAAGTACTTTAATCACGACCCGTCTTTAAATGGCGCTTTTTGTGTCTCAAAACCATGGAAAAACTGGTTTTTAATTTTTTCTCTAAACTTTTGCATTTTTTCAAATAAAAATATTATCAAAAAATACATATAAAAGTCTATTCAATGAAACGACAATGCTTCTACATTATATTTTACCCTCTGATGCATAAAAAGCAAAAGGATGTCATTAGTTGACGCCGGTATATGACTTTTTATTACATTTTTCACATCAAAACTCTTTTTCAACTTTTTTACACACAAATTTTCGTTTTATACATTTCATAATCTATCAATTTATATCCTTACAATACGCACATGCTTCGACACATAATAACATGGTATCAAAATCAACTCCCAATTAATGTAAACATGCAACATGTTTGAAATGAAAGCAAACATCAAACAGGGCGGACGGACTTTATTAAAGATAATCATCAGTAAAGCAGAGTTATTAGCCGCTCCAAAAAGGGGCTTATTATCAAAGAAGGGGATGATATTATATTTACCAAGACAAGAGTATCATATATTGCACAGAAATCAATTTCATTTCTGAATAAAATAAATAAGCTTAAAATCATTTTTAAAATTTTGATCTTTGCATGTTTTGATAAAGTAATAAAATTAATAACTGTAATAAAATATTTGTAACAATCGCTTTCCATCCACCCCTCACTTTCGACTCGCTGGCGTTTTGTCGCCAGTGCATTATGAAACATTATGAAGCCAGCAAACCATTGAAAACCATTTGAAAGCGTGGGCACCCTCATGCGGCGCGCGAAGAATAAAAACGCGCACGTTGTCGACGTCACGCGTTTCGCTTTTAGCGCTCGCCGCTTCATTTTCGAGGGGATGCGACTGGCGCTGAGGGTGCGCGCATCAAAC